TTTTGAAAGCCCCAACCTTTCAAAATTTTAAGGATTTTAAGGATTTTAAGGATTTTTAAAATTTTAAATGGGCCTGCCTCTTTCCGGAAAATAATTGAATTTTCTTTCTAATTTTTAAGGATTTTAAGGATTTTATGGATTTTAAGGATTTTAAGGATTTTAAGAAATTTAAAAGGCCTTAAATTCCTTAAAATCATTAAAATTTTGAAAGGCCCGGGCTTTCAAACTTTTAAGGATTTTAAGGATTTTAAGGATTTTTAAAATTTTAAATGGGCCTGCCTCTTTCCGGAAAATAATTTAGTTTTCTTTCAAAATTTTAAGGATTTTAAGAAATTTAAAAGGCCTTAAATTCCTTAAAATCCTTAAAATTTTGAAAGGCCCAACCTTTCAAAATTTTAAGGATTTTAAGGATTTTAAGGATTTTTTAAATTTTAAATGGGCCTGCCTCTTTCCGGAAAATAATTTAATTTTCTTTCAAAATTTCAAGGATTTTAAGGTTTTTAAGAAATTTAAAAGGCCTTAAATTCCTTAAAATCCTTAAAATTTTGAAAGCCCCAACCTTTCAAAATTTTAAGGATTTTAAGGATTTTAAGGATTTTTAAAATTTTAAATGGGCCTGCCTCTTTCCGGAAAATAATTTAATTTTCTTTCAAAATTTTAAGGATTTTAAGGATTTTAAGAAATTTAAACGGCGTTAAATTCCTTAAAATCCTTAAAATTTTGAAAGGTCCGGGCTTTCAAAATTTTAAGGATTTTGTGGTCCTTTTAAAATTTTGGAAAACCCCTAAATTCCTTAAAATCCTTAAAGTTTTGGAAGGCGAAGCAGGACCGTCAAATAACGCATAAAGGTCCTACATACATATCTATATATATATATATATATACATAATCCGCGGCCGGAGCCCACAGTGCCTTGGCCCCCCTTGGAGGGGGTCGGCGGCACTGGCGGTAGCCATTAAATCGGGCAGCGCGAGGTCCCCAAAGGACCGAGCAAATGCGGACCTTTTAGCCCGGGTCGTCCCGGGCATAGCCTTGCTGGCCTCTGGCCTTCTGCGAAGCAGAATTAGGCCGGACGCCAGTGCCGCCGACCCCCGCGTGCCGCCGGTGAACGGTTTTTTTTTTTCGTGGTTTTTTGCGTCGCCACGGAGGCCCCCAGAGGGCGCGCATCATGAGCATCAGCGGGTCCAGCCCTGGACCCCCAGGCGCGCATCAGGAGCATCAGCGGCTCCCGGGGCGGGACCCCGGGGGCGCATCAGGAGCATGATGCCCCCCAAAGGGCGGGCATAAGCGACGTGTCTAAGCCCGGGGCTAGGAAAAAGGGAGTTTAGGGGCCTTTAGAAACGTTAAGGGAGTCTAGGAGCCTCAAACGCTTAGAGATTTGAAGGGAGTTTAGGGGCCTGAAAATGCTTAGAAACTTAACGCTTAGAGATTTTAAGGGAGCTCAACATGCTTAGAAACTGCTCGCCCCGGGCTTCTGCGTGCGCTGCCCGCCCATGGGCGCAGCCCCTTAAATATAGATTGATAGTTTCGAGAGCTTCACTGAAGCTGCCACACCAATGCTCCAAGACCCGACTTCGACACTGTGAAGAACCATGGAACCTGCTCGTCCCTCCATCTGTCAAGCCACCTCCATAGGTGTGATGAAAGAGTCAACCTACATATACACATCTGCGGGTTTACGAAATTTGGGGTAGACCTTATTGGGGTCCCTTATGTTAAGGGGATCCTACCATTTGGGGGTCTCCAGTAATTAGGGGCCTCTTATTTTCCTAAAGCCACATATAGATCATGTAGACTGTGTATGTCTCTTGTATGCATACAACTGTAGACTGTAGACATAGTGGCATATTCTACAGAACACCTCGCAGTGCACTTTCATGCCGAAGGGCGGAAGCGGTAACAGCCGCAGAAGGGCTGCCAGAACCAGCGCCAAACTGAGGCCACCTCGGTAATCTGATACACTCATGTCCTGCAAGCTGCACACATGCCAGAATGGTACCCTTGACACACTGCATGTGAGAACCAAAAGCATCTCGACCCTAAACTTTGCCTAAACTCCAAGACACCCCCCCCCCTCCCACCCCCAACGAGAAAACAACCAACGAATAAGTACATGCATGCATACATGCATGCATCTATATATACAGTCAAGAAAGTACCCAAAGCCCTAAACCCCTGAGCCCTAAACCCCATAAACCCCCCCTGAACCCCCTTCAACCCTAAAACCCCCGAAACCCCTTCCAGCACTTCGCCGCGGTGCTGTCATAGGCGAGCACTGCGAGGCGACGCGCGGAGCCCAAAGGGCGGGCCAGATCGCCACTGGTGCGCCTGGAGAAAAATTGGCGTCCGTTCTGGGGTTTTGTGGGGGGAGCTTGTTAGGGTTTCGGGTTTAGGGTTGCTTAAGGCTTATAAAAGTTCTAATTTTTAGGGGGTTTGGGCAGGCCGAGTTATACGGTTCTGTTAGGGTTGGGGTTGCACGCAACGACCCTCACGGGCCTTCTGGTCAGGACGTCCAGACCTTCAGGGAGCAGCTAATTGGCTACATTGGGACCCCCCCCACGCTCGTCAAATTCGCAGTGCCATCTCTGAATATCTCTGGGCCGTGGGTTGCCCTGCACCAATCAGCCCCAGATGTATGCTCTGCCATGACTTAGACCATTACTCCTAGGATGGTGCCTCAAGATACCCAATGCTGCCACATGCAGCGCCCATAAACCCCAACTCTTCTTGGCTGACAAAGCTCAGAACTTCGGACACATGATTGGGGGGGGGGGGGTTCCTTGTTTCGGAATCGTTGACGTCTCAACATGGATTGTTCGCGTTTCGGAGATATCCTGAGCCGTTCCCAGAATCTGGATGTACTGGCACCCCCCCTCCACCCAGTTCTACAGTTATACTGTACACCCTCGGATTGAACAAGCTACCCTAACTCCAATCAAGACCCCAAACCCAACATCCCTGACCCACCCTGCAACCCTATATCCTGAAGCTTAAAGCTTAGGGGCCCCCTGGCCTAAGAGTTCCGCTGTGACCAGGCTGGAGAGCAGCAGCTGGAGCGCCACGTAGACGGTAGAGGTCAGCCGCTCGAGGACGCAGCTCTGGCCAGCGAGCTCTTTCAGTTCTGCTTTGCAGAGTACAGGGGTCTAGGGGGGGTTTGGCCTGTTTGTTTGTTGGGCTGGCCTTCAGGGACTTTAGGGTTACTAGAAGATTTTTGTTGGGCTTGCCTTTAGGGACTTTAGATGGGACTTTAGGGTTGCTAGGAGTTTTGCGGCTTTCTACGGGTTCCAGATGCGACTTCGAAAGGTTTTTGCTTTTGGCGACGTGACAAACTGAGGCTGCGGCCACCCACCAAGGAATCCAAATCATCACATTTCCTCAGAGCGACCCTGAACCCTAAACGATAAACCCTAAACCCGAAACTACGGCAAGCCCTAAACCTGAACTACCCTAAAAACCCGAAACCCTAAACCCAACTCCCCAGGCTTGCAAACAGAAAGGAAGGAAACCTCTTGCCTCCAAGCCGCTGAGCAGCCCGAACTCCTTTAGGATCGTGGTCTTCTTCTTTGGCGACCGCTTCTTCTTGCGTGGCCACCACCTACTGAAACCAGTTTAGGGTTTTTAGGGTATTGGGGTTTAGCGTCTGGGGTTACTGGGAATTGTCATGCCTGAGGTTTGGGGTTTGGGGCTTAAGTTCGCTCGCTTCCGTTCTCTCTTCTTTGGCCCCTTCCCCACCTTGTAAAGAGGTTGCTGCCCTTCGACCTCTTCTTCGGAGGCTTCCAGTTAGGAAAGCGGGGATGCATCCCCGGCGCAGGGCTCGCCCCGGGGGCCCCGGGCGCTCCGGGCTGTGGCGCAGGAACCGGTATCGGCGCCATCGAGGCGGCTGAAAGTGCGTTGGGGGAGGAAACAGGGTCCTATGGGGGTTTTCCGAAAAGAGGGTCTAGTGCCCTTCTGTTGTGGGAGGTTCCTTGGTAAGGATTCCTGATTATTTTGGTGTAAATTTGGGTGGACCCCCATGTGGGGAAATGCCCATATAAAATGTCAGATCAGACATAGTCGGGACATGTAAGTGCTGGCAAGATGCACACTTGCTTGATGGATGTTTGTTCGAGCAAAGCTCCGGGAGTCTCAATATTGCGTGTGGCTACCAGGTTCTCATGTTGATACTGCCGGCTGCAGTATCATGCGGTAAGCCCCCCCAGCTCCTTTTCTCAAAGGCATCTGAAAACTGCCACCATGGAAAATCCACCAGAGTGCATATGCATAATCCATGCCTCTCGGGATGTGTTGGTGGCCGCACTCGACTCACTAGACCAATCATTCCATGTCATTCGTTCAGAATGTACAAGTCAAGTGGTGTTACGTCATGTCCCGAGAGGAGCCAAGCTTTGCTTCGTCTTGCAGTGCAGCTGAGGTCACAGCAAACCCTCAACATTCCTAAGCCCGAGGACCTTCCTTCACATGTGTGAACAGAAACTCACCTGCACCACTTGCGAGTTGCTCCATTTTAGAGCAAAAGGCTACTGTGCAGGGCTGTGAGCCCTTGTCAGGCCTTCGTTTGGCGAACTTTCGCTTACGGCGCTTCATGGTACTTAGGTGTCGAACCGAAGGCCGAAACCCTGCAGGACTTGAGACTGTCGGGTGAGGTGGATCTCGGCGGCACTGGCAGGCTGATTGAGCTTGTTTAAATCCTCACTCCGCAAACGCCACGCCGAAAATTTGGCACAAAAGGGCCAGAGATCAGCCCTAAACACCCTGTAACATCCTCTAGATAAAGCCCTAAGCTTGCAAGAGGATGATTTCAAAATATGGTTGCCTTTTCTTTTGTTTGTCTTAAAGTTGTATCTTGTCCCCTCCGAAGTAGCTTAGGGCTTAGGGAACAAACCGCAGCTTTGTTCTTGTGTAGCCTGGTTTTTGATAGGGTTGAGGAGTTCTGGATCGGAAGGGCTTGGGGGCTCATCCCACTAGGTCGGAAGGGCTTTCAGCCTCAGGCGTTCAGAGACAGAGGCGGGTCACTTCGCCGCCGGGCGTCCTTGTCACACCTGACATCACATGGAAAAAATCGCTCTTGAGCCTGCGGTGTCAAAGCCAGAGCTGCAAGGAAGTGAAGCCCAAGAGGCTGCTACAGGTGAAGCAGCCATGACTCCCCTAATCCCCAGCAAGCCCTAGGCTCCATGCTTGGAAAGCATGTAGTTGTAGTTCTCCTGCAGGTGAATGAAAAACAAGCTGCTAGGCCTTTCTTGCCATTAGCGCCAAGTAGGGGTTACATGATGGTCAATGAGTCAATGCTAAACCCCGACTTTGGCTGTCAAAAAGGCCCGCTCCTCGAAGTTCAGCAGTCCGAACAGCTCGACTTTGGCGCCATCCCGCAGGTTGATCCTAGCTCAATGGGTTCTTATTGACATTCAGGGGCAGACTCTCTGCTTCAAGAGGCAGCGAAAATAAGAGCCAGGTGGGCCTCACGTCAGCGCAGTAGCCCAGAAACCTCAGGCCATACTTCATCTCGTAGATTTCCTGTCTGACAAGCAGGTGCAGGGCGTTCGAGGTCTCAATCAAAGGCAGAACGGAGAAGCCTGGTAGGAGAACTCAGTGATGTCTTTTCCGTCAAGACCTGGAGCCCCACTGCTCAAGAGAGGAGGTGTCACCCCTTAGCCGAAACTGGGCATCTGACCACCTGTCACAGACACTCGCTTGTTGGTGATCTTGTACCTGAAAACAATCCCAAGTAGCGAAAAGTGAAGCAAATCAAGCTCCCAAGACCCACACTGCAGGAGCTGCGCACTTCACCCTGAACTGACGATTCACGGCGGCGATGAACGGAATGATCCTCGGTGTGCAATGGGAGTGGCTTGCAGCAGGAAAAGTCCTGCAGGTAATAAGCTTAGCCGCCGGCCCGATCACCACAAAGCAAGACAGGAACGGGGCAAACATCTGAGCACAATGCTGGGTCCCTTCTTGGGGGTCTCCCTATGAGGAGTCCTACTATCACAAAGGAATCCCAAATGCGACCGGTGAATTGGCCAGCGCAACGATGCCCTACATGCCGCTGCCTCGGTCGAGGATGGCGGGCCCTCCCAGAAGGTCTCTTCAGCCTCGAGCTTGGCCTCGTCCCTCTTGCTCTTCTCCATCTGCGGCGAGAAGTTGCAAGTGGGATGGGCAAAGGGATGACGATGAACATTTTGCTAAGGTGAGGGACAGGGTGTCATTTTGCCCAGTGCCGTCGTTGACTCAAGTTGATGATTCGACCCGCATCAAACAAGATTGCCCGCCTTTTCTTCCTTCTTTTGGCGGTCGAGGGCCTTGTGCAAGCTACGGAATGTCCGTCAAGCAGTGAATCAGGGAAACGCTTACCTTGTACTCCCGAGCAGATGCTCGGGGCATTCCCGCCTCCGCAAGCGACATCTTCTGCTTTTTCTTTTTGGCCTTCGCAGCCTGTGCTGTCGGAGATTTACGCAGGTTCTGGCACGATTCTAGGGGTAGAACCATTGCAAACATAAATGAGGAATGAAAGCATGGGGAACTCGGAATTTTCAGTTGGCACCTCCATGGCTGTCACGGCATCGCTGACACGGCTCGGCGTCTCGCAAGCAAAACATGCTGGGTGTGTTTGGGTTGTGCATACAAATCATACAACAGTGAGGTCCAGGATCTAATCAGGATGGTGCACGGGGTCAGCACTGTTGCGCTCCAACCCTCAAGCCAACTGCCAACTACGTGAAATCCACGGCCTGCCATCCTCCTGCGAAGCCCCAGCCGGCGGTTGCCGCGGCCAGTGCCAGCAGCACCTCAGGAAGCATTGGGGACTTCAGCGCAAGACTTAATTAATCCTCATTCTCTGCAAGAAAGCAACCCTCTTTCAAACAAACAAGAGGCTGTGACCCACACCTAAGAACCCGCCCTCCCACCCTTCTGCTTTGGGCCCCCGGACCCCGAATCGACCAGCCACGCGGCCTGGTCGCGCCTCAGTGAAACCCCTCATGCAAGGGAGGTTTAGGGTTTACAAGGGTTGAGGTTAGAGCGTTCTGCGGGTTCAGGGGGGGTACAGCGTTTGGGGTTCGGCTAGTGGGATAGGAGAGATGTCGGAGGCTTCAGGAGTTGAAGGGCTGTTTTTTTTGGTTTTTGCCACCCGCCTGGCAGTACCTAACTCCCAAACTCCCTGTCATAACGCACCAAATGCCATCCCAGGACCACCTGGGTGCTGGGGGTCCCTGCCATAGCAAACAGCTACCTTCAGGATTCCCCACTGCCCTGCTCTTTGGAGAGACGCTGCGGGCGGCAGATATGGAAACAGCATGAATCTTCACAAGCCCCGAGCTTTAAAGGTTCGAAGCACCGAGCCAAGAACCACGCTGACAGCTTTGAGCTCGAGCAGTCGCTTTTTCCGCTGAGCCGAGCATTATATCAACTACTTGGCGCGGGGGCTCGGTTCACCAGCTCCGCCAACCTTGGCATCGTGGAGGGCATGCAGGCAAGATTGGGGGGATGGCACGATGCGCTGCCACGATAGTTGTTCAGGGTTTACGGTTGGGGCTCACGCTCACCCCTCACATTAAATCCCCGCCCTTCCCCCCCCCCCCCCCCCCCCCCAACGATTTTTTTGTCCGCTTTAGGGCATGAGAAGCTTTAGGGTTTTAAGGGAACCTTATGTAAGGTTGGCAGCAACGTGCATTTGGGCTCAGAGACCTTCTGGGCTTATGAGGATCATGGAGAGGACAGGGATCGGGCTTTGTTGATTTGATGAACTTGTTGCACCCTGGACTCTTTGGAGCAAATCTACACGGCCGCAATCTTGTGGTTTATATGTTTTTATTCTCAACCTCGGCGTGGGGCTATTTGCCACCCGGAGCCAGGAGCCAGAAAAAGGAACCACGTTCCATCCCGTCCTTCAGGGGATGTTTAGGGGTTGGGGATGGTTAGGGCTTGGGGAAGTTTGGGCATACTTAGGGCTTGGTGATGTCTAGAGATGTTGAGGGTACAGGGGTTATCTAGGATATTCTAGGATCACCCAGCAGGCCACGCTCCTTGGCCGCGCCGCTGCAAGAAAGAGACAGTTGGCCGTGTTTTGCTGGCCCGGTTGCTGCAGACAAATGTTCAGCTCGTCCAGGGCGTGTTTGGCGCCGGGTGTAGGCCTCGTCGATCTGCAAGTTCAACGACGGCACTGTTGTGAAGGTGAAAGGGCGGTCGTAGCTGATGCCGAGAGAGGGGGTCAGCGTCAGCGCGCACCTGCTCAAGCTGTTCCGGCGGTCGCTAGAACCTTGAGCCTCAAAGCCTGATCCGAGAAGCCCGAAACCCCAAACTAACCAACTTAGCAGCTTAGCATCAAGGGCAGGGCATAAAGCCTCCAAGTTTGGTCCTGCTGTTAATTTCGGGTCTCGGGGGTCAGATTGTCTTGGGGTGCAGAGATTTCAGTGCGCAGGCTTGAGGGGTTGAGGAATTTGTGTTTCGCAGCCAGGAAGTGGGTTGCTCGACGGATTCTGCAGGCCTCTAAGGGCCGGGTCTGGGAGGTTTGGGGCTTACCAGCCGAAACCCTCAATGAACTCCGAAAGGTACGCGAGCTGCATCGGGCAGCATTTGCTACCCGGGGCAAAAGCCAGGAGCAAAATGGAGCAAAGCACAGTCTCGAATCCCTGCAAGCTTCTCCATCTGAGGCCGGAGAATATCAAGAGTGTTGGCTTGAACTGAATCTCCAACCCTCCCCAGGTTCTAACCCCTAAACCCCAAAGACCCCAAACCCTGAATCCCATGACCTGAGGCCCTAGAATTAACACCCACAGCAGAACCCGACCCCTGCCTCAATGAAGCAGCGCCAGGAAGTCGCAATGATGACCGCCACCCAGCCTCGCAGGTCGGAGGCTGAGTGGCAGTCGGGATCTAGCTTAGCACACATTGAGTCGGGCTTTAGGGGATTAAGGGGCCAAACTGTCAGAGGCTTCAACTTCAGCCAAGTTCATCTTCAGCTTGAGCTTGGCAGTGGCTCTAAGACTCTAAGAACAGGCGCCGGATACAAGTCAACGCAGCATGCCCAGACTAGGACAAATGTATCCAAGCGGCTCAGATTCTCTCCCATTGCTCCCAGAACTTGTCCATGTTGCCTGAGAAATGCGCATGAAATCACATGAATCTTCGCCATACTGCAAGACAAGGAACAGGAGCTCACACGATTGTCGCCAGAATTTTGAGGATCTCTGAACTGTGGCTAAGATTCGGGCCGCCCATGTGGCGTTGCCTACCTGAAGAGCTCGCCTCAGCGTGGCTACAAAGGATTCGGGTCTGCACCCCTCACTAGCAAGAGCTTGCACCCTGAAACTCAAGTCATGCCAGGTCCTGCAACCCTGAAGGCCTTCAAAATCCTCGGCAGATCCTTGCAGCACGTGCAGCCCTCTTGAGTCAGCCGCCGAAGTCACGAAGGTAGCTTGGCAGGTGAAGCCCTGTCATGGCCCAGGAGTTACGACTACTGTCACTTAGAATTTAGGTCACTTAGACCATGTCGGGGCTGGAGCGCCTCTCTCCTCGTCAGGATACCAGTAGTCCTCAACCACGTGGAAAGCTGCAAAACTCAGTTTCCGTTTAAGGCTTCGGCTTTCACACTCACGCAAGGCTGGCAAGGCAATGGGAGCCTCGGAGTGTCTAAAGTGATTTTTTTCTCACACTGCAGGGCAATGACTCAAGGCTCAAGGAATCTAGAGTTACCCACCAACACCCAACCCAACCAACAGCCCAACACTGAGCAGGTGGGTTTAGGGGCGACGGGGGGTAGATGTGATAGGTGGGTTTAGGGGCGGGGAGGGGGGGTGGGGCAAATGTGATATATGCACTCCATGCATAGAAGACGCTTTCACAATTCAAGCATTACATCAGCACAACTTCACTAAAGCACATGGTCTTCTCGAGCGCCCCTCCCCCCCGGCACAACAGCGTCTGAACTGGACATGGCCAAAAATCACGCAACTCAAAGTTGAAGCATGCCCAAAGTTCAACTTCAGCGTCTTACAAATTCCAGTCACCAGTCCTTTCCCACGCGTCCACCCCGAGGAAGATGATCTCCTCGGAAGCCGTGCTTGCGGAAGAAGCTCTCCACCGTGTTGGCATGATCACTCCCAGCATACCTCGAAGACGCTGCAGCACTGTCTTTGCAAATGGCAGACCCGGAGCGCACCAACCGTAACCAAAAATGTATATAGATGCGATATCATACTACAGCGGTGAATTGCTATGGCGGTAGATGAATGTGTAAGAGCACATCCAGCTTTAAATGTCAGTGGGCTTCAGGTGTAGCCGAGCTTAGCCTTCAGTGCACAGCACTTTCGAAGGAAAAAACAAGTAATGACATGATTTTTAAATAATGATTAGTGCTGCTGAGGCGCAGGAGGACGACGACTTCGGTTCCAACTGCTGCTTGGAGTACACCTGAGATTGCCCAAACTAATCTGAGCCCGGGTTTTGGATTTTTGGGCTGCTGTAGAAGCACTTGCTTGTTGACGACGTTTAGATTCCACGGGGTCCTGGCGCTCTGCGACCAAAAGGATGACTGCCAAATCCACCATGCGCAACTGAAACACATCCTTAGTCTGTTCAGCAATGGCTTTGTGCAAGCCCATCAGCCATGAACCGTCCACAACCTCTTGGATTTTTGGCAGGTTAGGACAAGTTGGCAAAAATGTGGCGAAAACTTGCGGAAGGCGCCAGCGGAACTGTGTTTCAGTGATGTGGTTCTGATTCAACGATGAAAGTTCATGATTCGACCCTCAGCCTGTGCCACGGTCGGGCAAGATGAAGACCCGTGGCTATAGATGCTTCGCGTAGAGGTGCAAACATGACAGTGTAGGCAGAGTGTGAGGCTTAATCATGTTTGGGAGGCAACATCTTCTGAGCAGGAAGTTGAAAAACACAACGAAACCGATGATGCTGAGGATGTGTGAGGATGCTCCAGTTGCGCACTGCTCGACACGGCGAGCTAGCAATTCACAGATGACACCTTCCACGTGTGTTCTGGTGCTGGGGAGCGTCGATAACGATCTTGGCCAGAACCCTCTGCCTGCAGTCAAAGGCACTTTCATGAACGGAGGAATGAGGGAGACTAGTCAGCCCTGTGCCTGAAACCTCCCCCAAAACGAGAAAAAAAACATGCCCAGCGCCTTTTTGTGGTGGGCCTTCCTGCATCCGGATCAAAGCTGAAGATTTCTTGCATCGCAGCCTCAAAGCCCGGCATGTGGATCCTTGCTGGCACTCGAATGCATTTCCAGGGTTGACCCCATCTTTTTCGCGGGGGAAAACCCGATGCCATTGCTGTCGAAGTCACCCCCGAAGGTTGTGGAACCTTGGAGCATCCCACATGCCAAACTTGTGGGCATCTCCCGTCAAATGAACCCACCCCTCACCCCTGAACACCCCAAACGTCCGAACCGTACATCTTAAACCCTAAACCCTAAACCCTAAACCCTAAACCCTAAACCCTGAACCATAAACCAAATATGCTTCCTCAAGTTCCTAAGCTCCAGCTGCGGCGGGGCTGCGTCCTCGTGTCTGACAAGCTTGGGACGCGGTCGCGGGTTCTCAGCACGGCTGGGTCCGAGGTGTCGATGTCTTCCTGGCAAAGTCTGGAGGTTTCAGGGTTTCGTTAAGATGACTCCTTTTGGAGAACCGACCTCCAACTGCAGAATCCCCATCAAGAATGGCCCCCAAGTTTCAGAGACCCCCTCAGATAGTTTTCGAGCGTTTGAGGAAAAAGCTCGGGTTGATGGTTGCGTCCATCTCCCCCAAGAAGTAAGCTGCTGGCATATATGTCGCGGTGACATTCCCGGAGCCACCTCGTTTCAAGGCATCATGCCATGCCAACAAGGTCGCTGAGAGAGTCTCATGCGTCTTGGTCAATGGCAGGCAAGCCGCGCAACAAAGTAGTCTCCTTCGACATCTTCTGCTTTGGGGTTGTTCCTGCCACTTTTCAGCAATGCACAAGCCTCTCTTCCGTTCAACGCACATCCTGAGCAACAAAGGCAACCAAAATACTAAAATGTTAGGTATGAACCTTAACTACATGTTGGTCCACGCTCACGCTGAATCGGGCCGAGGTACAAGAAAGCCTCCACGGAGCTGAGATACCATTCATGAGCTGCAGGGGAGCATCGAACAAAAGCCAAACGGGTCTTCAGATATTGGTGCTTTCTAATTGAAGGGTGCCCCTATTCTGGGAATGCACATCAATACATCAAAATATTATATACAAATCCAGACTCAATCGTGTCTCAAGGTCAAGCTTGCCACAGAAGGCGTTAGGCCGACAGCCGTGTGCCCCGTGCCTGCGCTCACCACATCGTCCGCGCCCCCGCGTTTCACACGCTGCGCCAACTCTGAGACCCAGGTCCTCTGGCTTTTGGGCTTCCATGCACGGCCTGACATGAATTGCCTCGTAGTGGAGGTGCCCAGCACCCCTTGCGATACACACAGCGCAGGCAATGCCTGAACTGTTGCGCCCTTCGTCTCGCTTCAGAGTCGGCTTTTCAAAGGCCCAGAACTCCAGAACCGTTGCCAAAACCCCCTTCGTGGACTGGGGCCTCGCTTTGCGCTAGCGACTTGAACGAAACCTAGGCTGCATGCTAACCCCGATCCTAAGACCTGCCCTGCCCTTGCTGCCTAGCTCATATTTGAGTCCTGGGTGGGGAAGAGCCGCGCGCCTTCAGGAAACGATCCTGGGCGACTCCAAATTTCTCATGGGCGGTCATGGTCACAGGGCTGAATGACTCAGCCAAGGATCCACAGGAGCGCTGCGGACTGGGATCAATCGCCGAACGTCCTGGTTCAACCGTGGGAGCTCTAGCCTTAAATCATCGATCAAGCCCTCCTTCTAACTCCTCAAGGCTACTCATGTCATAGCTTGCTTTGGCTCGCATCTTACTCTGTTTTTCTGTCGCGTAACGAGCTGACATATGTCAGTTTCCATCTGCAAAGCATGGCATATAGCGGCTATGATGTTGCCAAACCACGCAGGGAGTTACATTGTATGACTTGACGGCTGAACACACCCAAACAAAATGCAGCACGGCCCAAACTGTACTAAAATGTACTAAAAAGGCCTACAAAACGCAAGAAGTCCAACATCCAAGCCTCCGACGCCCCTCTTGCAAGCCTCAACGCAATTGATTCTAGGGAGCAGCTCCTGGCGCCGTCGTAAGCCTTGGCCCGGGCGACAGTGCCTCGAGCTGCGTAGCGCGCAGGTGTGGCATGGTGTGGCTTTAGTGTGGCTTTAGTGTGGCTTTAGTGTGGCTTTAGTGTGGCTTTGCTTGGGATCCGGCAGGACGGACCGTACACGGAGGCAGGAGCGCGCTTTCTCATCCTGGACGTCAACACAGAGATGCAGCGAACGCAATATCAAACCATGCACAAGCATGCATGGGGGACTGAGCATGGACAACTTGCTCAAGTCTGACATGCAGAAAGAATCTCTGAACAAGGCCAGCCCAGTCCTGGCGCAACATTGCTAGAGCATCCGACACCTTTCCGGTGTAGAGATGCTGGAAGAACTCAAGCACCGCCTCCTGCCGAAATGCCCTACAAAAATGTTTGGCCGTCGTCAGCATGAGTTCACTGCATTCGCCTGCGGCCGTGGCGACTCCAGCGAGTGCTTCAGCACACAAGCGAGAAACGGCACGAAGTCGCCACGGATGTGCGGGGAGTAGTAGAGTAGCCTGGGCTCTTGCAGGCATGCCTCCATGCAATGCCAGAACCAAAACCAGAAAAGTGCTAGTGCCTCAGCTGAAGCAAAGAAGCTCAGAGGCCGCTCCAAAGAAGGCTTCCCAAGATGGAATTGCCGGAATATCCAGCATCTGGCAGGGTGGTTTGCAAGTCTCCAAAACGTGACATCCTACGTGGTCACCACTACCCCATCAAGAAGGAGAAGCATCGGCCTGCTTAATCCACGTTTTTGTAGGCCGCACGGGTATCTTCAAGCCTTTTGCCTAAGCAGCAGGGATGGGTGATGAATTGGGGGTTTTGTTTGCTCTGGCTTCAGGCAATGTCCTGAAGCGAGTGAAGATACATTGAGAAGCACAATAAAGCATTGCTCGTGTGATGTGGGGTCTTTTTTTTTGTCTAGGCAGTTGTGCACCCGCAGAATGCTCAACACAGAAATGACAGCCATATACAGCCATTTCCGAACCCGCCCCACCCCCCCCCCCCCTCCACCCCCCACCATGAGAAAAACCCGTCAACTTTGGATTCCATTGAGCAGGCCAGCAAAGCAAGCAAACAAGCTGAAACCAGAACGGGCAAAAAGAAGTGGCCATGCCGAACCCAAACGCCATGGAAGATGCACATGGTTTCATTGCATTGCACTTGTTCAGTCTTTGGATCTCACCCCGTTACTGCGTTTTTCCAGGGACTGAGTGCCGCAAATCCTCGAAAACCCGTAGTTCTCAAGGCCCGAAGCGATGTAGTGCCAAGTGTCGTCCGCTGTCTCCTCTTCTACGTCCCGGGGCATGGGCTTCTCGAGAAGGCTTTGGAACCTCTGGGACTTAGGATGTAAATCTTAGGGGGCCAGTTGGGGTTGGTTAATGCTGACGGTATGGCCGCCAAGACGACACGCCCATTGCACAAAAAAAGGCCACACACAACCGAGGGCAACTCCAAGGAAACATCTCGCGCGAATTCTAGCTGCACGGGGCTGCGGACACCGTTAACGTAGTCTACAGAGTTGCATGAGCCTATGTATCTTGTGTACGCTGGTCGGTGCAGGTACCCCTAGTCATTAAACCTTCAGCCTCAACCTTAAAAACCCTAAATCCTAAACGGCCTGGTTCGCAGCTCATCGTCTTCCGGGTCTCCCAGCTCCCTGGGATCCATGAAGCGGATCCTAAAGCCACTCTTCATGGACTCAAGTGCAGAGCGTTCCAATTAAGGTTTTGGATTGGGATGTTCCCTATTATGCTGACAGTCCTTAATAGGGATGTATAATCGGGGCTATTATCATCCCGATCAAGGACTGTTAGTATAAAGCATAAGGGGGAACATCCCAAGTTTAGGAAGCACTTTTCTGGGTTCACGCAAGGCTCCTCCGCGGGTCCACGTTCTGCATCACACGGCGGCGCAGGAACTCGAGCAAGGTCCCAGTCCCATCCTCGCCACAAAACCTCCGCACCAACAGCTCTACAGCCAAAATAAAAAATGCATAAATAAAATAAATATCTACATGTTGTATTTTTATGTTTTTATGCATTTTTTGTTTATTTATATATTCATGTAATTACTTATATACATATATACTATACATATGTCTGTCTACATATGTACATATATATAATTATACAGGGCACATGCGATTCCCCAAGTCAATCTCTGCCCCGTAAGCGGCCTGCGTGTAGACGGGTCCGCCTGGTCCTGAGAGCACAGATGAGCAAACATGAACACAGAGGCAGAAGGCGAAGACTTCATAGGCATGTTGGCGCAATGCAGAATGTTCTAACGGTTTCTGTTTCTGCCTCCTCTTCATCGCACGAGTCCTTGGGAGAACGCCGGTCGCTGCCAGTGACATACGCTGGTAAGGAAGGCTTTAGGAGTCTTAGGAGGACGCCATCTCCATGCCTTGCAGCGACTGGTGTGCCAGTGGTGCTGGTGCAACTCCCGACTCCTTGACCAAACATGCCAAAACAATCCTAGATGTCATAGCCGTCATAACATAATTTATAACTTTCAAAGGGGAGCACCTCAATCGATTACGTTCGAGGACAATCCTCGTGCAGCTCCACCTCCGTGTCCCAAACGGAACCTTCCAGGATTAACTGCACTCGGGAATCGCCTGAGCTGCAAATTTCATGGGTGGTTCTTCGTCTTGCTGCGTATGGAAAATCATCTTCGGCAGAATTCGCTGGCAAGTAGCTGGCATGTCTCAGCAGCCAATCATCAAACAACTCCACTTTCTCCTTCAAGCGCAATTTCTTCCGCCTCGAGATAATGGCCTGGGGCGACCAAGACGCGGCGCAGCTGGGTTTTTCAAACATTTTTCCAACAAGGGGGCTCTCATGCAAACATCACCCATGCACTGGAGCAGGGGACCCTTTTACTTGTTGCGGCCATGACTCATCATGTGTGACGGGAGGCACCCGTAAGCCCTGCTCTTTTTGCTGTCGCACCCACCTCACAAGTCAACGGCCGGTGAGGAAAAAGGCCCAACGACAAGTTCACAGGCCTGGCATCTTCATCCACGTCGTCCCACAGGAATGCACGCGTTTTCTCGGCATCGGCCTAGCGAGCGCAAACCCTCATGCCATGAGCTCACAAGATATCCCTTGTTTTTCTTGAGGCCGCAACCTGATCTGCATCTGGCAAGAAACTCACCGTGCCCGGGAGGAAAAGCCATGCAATGCCACGTTCCTGCACTGTCTTCGTCTGGGACCTATGGCAAGAATCTTGGATGTGCATACGTGCCATCACACCCAGCCAGACTGGTCCTTCGGGCCATGGCTTCGACGGAACAACAGCAAGCTCCCAGTAAGATCCAAACCTAAGGAGACGTCATTCTTGCGCGAACTGAGCATCTAGGCATCGGGAATCTTATCGACATCAAAATGCAGCTGGCTGCGCTCTTTGCGGCAAGGCCTGGGTCTGACAAAAATGTTTGCATGTGACATCGCAGTTTAACCAAAACACACGTCGACAGCCACACGTGACACACTAGTCAACTTTCCAGGTTTTCACATTAAAGGAAAATTTAAAAAATCCCCTTTCGGGTCCAAGTCACGGGGTAGTTTTTCTTGTGCCCAGGCCTGTACGTCACGCAAGGAGGAGGAGGCGTGACAGGCAACTGCCGCAGCAACGTCGACGGCGTGGGGCAGTTGAAAAGGCACCCAACCTCGTTGAATGGCTTGCAAGGTTGAATTCCCTTTATGTGCCCGCCCTGCCCCCCCCCCCCCCTCCCCAACCCGTGATTCCACAAAGCAACTCGCGCAACGTTCCGGGCAAGTGGCCGAGCTTTGCTGCAATGATGCTTCTCGGCCGGGTCAAATCCAAGGCATCCTACACAAGGATGCAAAATTTTGACGGGTCGTGACGATGATGCCATACCGAAACAAACCACAAAAGTGCATTGCCACGCTGTGCGAAGCTGCGAAGCAATCCTCATGAGCTTCGCCGCAAAGAATCAATGCTACCTGTCACTTGGTGAAATGGAACGTAATGGAAATGCATGTGCGACGCGCCATTCGTCAATCAAAAGCCCTGAACCTTGCGGCCGCAAAGCTCGCCACGAAGGGTCTGGATGGTTGATGGGCCGCTTACCCTCACGCGTGGACCTTGGTGCCCAAGCCGAAGCAAGTCTCGTCGCCAATTTTCTAAACAATCCATAACCAGTTGAGTCGACGACCATGGTTGCCGGCCCATGCGCGCGGGCGGCGGCGCCGCGGGCGAGGAAAGCAACTGTGTCGAGGTGCCTTCCCGGCTCAACACTAACGCCCAAGGAATGTGGTACACGCGGTCATTGATACAAGAAAGACATGCTTGGCACTTGAGCTGAAGCATCTAGTAATCTAGTAATCTAGTACTACCTTTCAACGTTCCGGGGCCTCCTTATGGCGACATGCAGAGTGAAAATGAATCTGGCATACGGTCCCACACAACACGGACATAAGGGGTGGAACACCCCCTGCTCTAGGCGAATGGGATGCTTGGCCCAAGGATGCAACACAAAGACAGTCACAATCGTGAGGCTCAGACCTACAAGCATCTACAAGCAGCCTACTCCATCTGTTCGCTTCCGATGTCTTCGTAGAACACCCCGGCCTGAAGCAAGGCCTCGAAGCTATCAGTCTGCACGGCCAACGCCTGCATCAACACTGCCAAGTTGCCGGCCGGCCAAGACGAAAAAAAACCTATGCAATGCAGGCAAGCTTAGATTCAGGCAGACGCACCTTGCGGCAGGTTGGAGGCAGACGGAGCAACTAGCCGCAACTGGCCGCAACTAGCCAGGTTTTCACAACAAGCTGCGTGTAACAACGCCCCGAGTCCACAGCTCGAGATTGAAGTGGTGACACCATTGACTGGCTCAGCCTCGCCATGATGGGCGAATTATATCGTGACGATGGTAAAGTGCGACACACCACTTGCAGCTCTCATCGCGTCCCAAGTGGGGACTTTTCTGCTCACCGCAGTTGTCTGCCGTTGCACGGATGCTGTGGCTAACCTCCCCGCAGAGCAGGCCAGGTGCCAAAAGCAGGGACACGGCACGCCTTGCAAGCAGCGAATGCTGGACGACAAGGCTTTCGATACGTGACGAATTCCAAAAATGTCATGCACAGGGGTGAAACCATGAAGACCATGAAGTCGTTCATTTGATGAACGAAGCTTCGCTCTCAGGACGATGCTTCTACAAAACTAAAGTAACTAAAACTGCAAGGATCTGCATCTGGCAGTCGATTCACTCCGCTAAACCGGGAGCTGAGCTGCACACAGCGGAAAGGGGCAGAACAGGTGCTGGATACACTGTTGTAAAAGATCTCCAGCCTCTGGTTCTGGAAAAGCTTGCAGTGTGGTAACTCCCCCATCAGCGCAGCTCATCCTTGGAAGGCCTTTCCTGGACACCATTGGCTCCCGGCACGGACGTCAGATCGCGTGCGGAGAGCTTCTCCATACGAACAGGCTCAGCTTGAGTTAAGCCAGAATCCTGCGGGACGGTCCCAGCAGAAGTTGACATGCTTTCTAAGCTGGGCCGGATCTTCGAGGGCTTGCGAGGTGCCGCAGGCCGTAGCTTCGCAAGCGAATCGCTTGGAACTTGTGGAACTTGTGGAAGCTTCGGCGCCTCGACCACGGGCCCTGTCGGTCGCACCGGAAGAGGGCCGCGCGGCGGCTTCGGTTTCGGGCCTGTTTTGTGTTGATCCTGATTCTGGTCGGCACTGAAGTTTTTAAAGCACGCGTGCCGAAAGGCCACCCCCACCATGGCGAGAGACGCACCAATCAGGAGCACAGCTCCGGCCATGGCAACGAAGTGCACACCGCCTGAGCTGCTTGAGCTGCTTGAGTCGGGGTCTCCCCGAGTTGCGGCCAAAAGGGATCCCGCAGAGTCGCCAGAGCTCGCCGCAAGGAAGTTGGAGCTCCTGGGGGGTCCTCTCATGTCGCCAGATTCACTCGCGGCCCCAATGGGCATCTGCACCACAGGATCCGAGGGAGCATGGGTCGGATCGGGAGGCTGTGGCACCAAGATCTCAGTGGGGTTCCTGGAAGGCACCGACACCGGGCCCGATTGAACCTCGATGCCTTGACTCGCATACCTCTCGGCCTGCTCGTCGCTGAGGCAGGCACACTGGCAGTTTGCTGTGGAATATCGGCCCCCAGGGCAGTGAAAGGCACAAGCCCAAGTATAGGCCTGCCCGCCCGTGACGTCTTTAAAGCCCGGGTTGCAGCGTGGGACGACCGTCTCAATTTGCAGGCTTCTATCCGAATCCAGATCTTGAGCAGTCGTCATCACACATGTGACCCAAGGCAAAATGCCCAGACACCTGGTTCGAGCCCAGCAAGAGGCATGGGCCATATGAGCGCTTATCAGCGCAGCGCGCTGCCTCTGTTGGTGCCGCCCTACAGCTTAACGATCGGGCCACAAAACGCAGCCAAGATCCGGCAAGCATTATGGCTACAACGTGCTTGCAATATGTGTTCTAAGATGTCGCATCATGTGACTATGTGGTGATCACTCGCGAAACGCGGGGCCTTCCTTGGGCTGTCGGGGGGCGTGCCTCTGAAGTGTGGGCGCAGCTGAAAGCTCCTTGGCTGGACGCTGCCTGGCAAGCCGCAGGACTGAAGACTGTTGCATCTCGGGACACACACATCACGTGAAAAATAAGTCAACTTATCCACGAAGTCTTCGTCCCCCTCCGGCAAAAGTTCCCCACCATGACGCTCGCCTGGAGTTTTAACTAAAGGCGATCCAAGATCCAGAAGGGTTCCGAGACTCTTGGGAGGTCATTGTGGATCCGTCTTGAGATTCAATATGTTTTTTGAAGTACCTCTGCCTGGATCAAGGACTTTTGCCGAAGAGTCCTGGGGCAAAGTTGCAGGGTATTGACACATGACATTCAAGTTGCGATGCCATTCCCGTACCGTGGGTGCAACATATCCACCCAAAAAACCTGGGGACTGGAAACCTAAATTCCTGGACCGAAGAAGAAGCCTTAATTATCCCCGCTTGATGCATACACCCTCTACATGAGCCATCTTCGACACACGATAGTCATCTACAGGCAAGTGAAGCCAGTGAAGAGGGAAGCGAGGTGTAACTGCAAAAACTTGACCGGATGAGTCCAGTTCGAAATCCCAATCTGTCGCCTCCCCCTATAAACCCTAAACCCTAGTGCCTCTGTGCATCGCCTCAGCACGGACGCCAGGGGCATCGCATCACTGAAGTCCGATGGCACGTGAGTCTGGGTTCTTGAGGCGTCTCAAGGTCTGTGTCTATGAATTTCCTTGTGAAAACACTTCTGTTGTGCAAGCCATTGCCAAGGCATGGTCGCTGCGAAAGTTTGCCGAGGATAGCGCTGTCTGGCAATGTTGCAAGAAAAGGCCTGTGATGATATACTGAGTCCACAAGTCTACTTGAGCAAACCACCTTCTGGCCTCACGCGCATAATCGCGCATACAACGGGGACCCGGCAGTGAATGAATGCAAGCGAATGCTCCGAATGCAAGTGAAGACATGTCATGCTGCCACAAGGCTGTCAGGCATGAACTTGGTTTGCCCCGTCGCGCAGCAGGAACTGCAACTACGAGTCGGACATGCTAGCTGTGTCGACCTCCTCTACCTCCTCTTGGTCATCATCTGCATCCAGCTGCGCCGCAAGAATCTCACCTCTTCGCAGGCTCCGCCTTGAAATGCAGGATCCGCATTGCAACGGAGGTTGCTGAAGGTCCCCCCCCCTCCCTCCCCCTCCCCCCATGAGGTGCAGGCTTGGCCCGCACAAAGGCCACAGGGCTCGGGTCTTCAAAGACCACCTCTGTTTCGTCAGTGGCATCACTGCAGGGTTCAGACTGAGGGCTTCAGGAAGGCATGTCAAACAAAGGCGCTGCAGGGAGTCCGAGTCCTTTGCCTCGACGTTGGCCCTCTGACCTGGCCTTGCACCTTGTCGAAGCAGCTGGGCGACCTGGGTGTCACTTTGCATCCACGCCGAGGCCAGACACGATTCCACACGCCATCAGGGCAACAGAACAGTGGGGCGGCAGAGCCCAGGGTGCAGGCTTTGGGGAAGAAAGCGATGCCTTCGAACGCTGTCGTCGCCTGGGGCGCCAACCCATTTTAACCTGCTGACAGAAACAAGTCTGCGCTTGAGAGGCCAGCGAAAAGTCGAGAACCCTCCTGGGCGACGCGATCCGCCTGCATTGAAAGGACACTGACACTGACATGTTCGGAGCTGAGGGGTGAGCCGCATCAAAGATTTTCAGGTTCCAGTGGTGACCGATGTCCCCAAGGAGTCGGCTAACTGCTAGACTCTGCCGGGCCTTCCAGGTCTCTTCCCCTGCATCGCCTGTAGGAGCATATCTCCATGAACCAGCGCAAAGCCTAAACCTCTCTCTCCAAACTATTCTACAACTTGTGTGCAGCCAAACCGTATAGCATGACCCCAAACTCAACATTACGTGCCTCCAGAGTCGTCTTCGCACCTTCCCGATCTCTGGTGGCAGCGGTGGTTGCAGCCTCCGAGCTGCCATCATGGTTGACAGGGCTGTTACACTACGATCATGCTCTTCGGGACGATTCCACTGAGATGGGAGCGTCGCTCTTCGCCTTGCTGCGATATGCTGCGCATGCTGCTTGAATCTCTTTTCTTAGAGGGTCAGCTTTCTTCCGTAACCTCCCAGTCACTATGGTGCTTAAACTGTCCAAGTACTGGGTCTGGCCTTCCCACAGCTCCATCACCAAGGTCTGTCGCAATCCCTCCGTCACTGGTTGCACGCAGTGGGCTTTGTGCCTTAAGCTGACAAGCAGTGCCAACAAGAGATCTGCAGCCTCTCAAAGGAACACGACGCCACGAAAACCCACGCTTGGATCACCAAGGGGATGGGAGTGCCAGGTGCCAAGCGAGAGAAAAATAAGGGCGTCTCCCCTGTCAAAGGCATGCTTTTGTAGTCCGTTGCCTCATCCACTGCTCAAGGCGAGGAAGACGCGAAGAGCCGGGCAAAGCCGTGTGCAAACCTGCTGTTTAATTTGACTTGCCGAGCGTCAGGCCTTCCAGCGTGCAGAAGTCTCCACCTGCTTTCACGACGGAACTTCCGCGTGGCTGAACTTTGCTCACAGACGATGACGGACTATATACAGGTGCAATACACGCACCTTCTGCATGTAGGTAGACATGCATAGATTAATACCCATGATACGTCTTGACATGTCATGATGCTACGTGTATGTAGGGTCGGTGCGCCTTGGAAGTCGACTCCAGGTGTACAAAGCATGACGTCCTCGGGCTCAGGATGTAGGGTTTCGACTCTTTGCACCTCTTCGCCCTCGCCGAAACTGCGGCTCACACGATCGTGAAAAGGGAGCCGCCGTCGAAGTGAGTGGGGTCCTGCAGATCTGGCGGATGGTAACAGCCGTAAAAGTACTCAAAGGGCGGTGACAAGGGCAAGGAAGCACCGCACAACTAGTTGCAATGTGCCCAACGAAATCCGTAAGCACCTTGCTGGGAGAGCACCTCCCGGTGAGACCAGGTGGTGCTCTACCTTGCCACGACACATGAAAGCCACTGAAACGAAACGCGAAAGACCGAAGCCAACAACGCGCTCTGTTTAGCAGTTTCTGGAGTTTGACAAAGATGCCCCAATCTGCACTTTGAGGCGATGGCGCAGCGTGGCCGCAGCCTCACGTGGAAACTCGAGAGACAGCACCACCCGACCCCCGAAAAAACAACAAGCGAGCTTTTCTTTCAGGGGCGACCCCCAGGAGTCTAAGCAGCCAGCAGGCCAGCATCTCGTTTGCAAGGGCGCCAGGGCGCTGGGCCTCGCTGGACCTGAGTGTTTCAAGGGCTGAGAAAAGATATTATGGAGCATCAACTCGGACGATGCTTCAGGCCGAGCTTGGGTTAAATTCAGGCTTGAAGGTTGACGATTCATTACTTTGGCGCGTCTTTGCAGCTGCTTTTTCGACGCTTCTCGTGTGGGCCTGAATAACTCAAGAAAAACATGGGTTGACGATGATTCCCAGAAGACACACCGAGCACAGGCCTCATTCTTCAATTCAGGCCGGCCTTCGGCAAATGTTTAACATCTACACGCTGAGTCAGGCCATGCTACTGGCCCTACACGAACATGCATGCTGATATGATCTGTGGTTTTTGGCTTCTGGGTCTTGCTTACATGGGGAGGGGGGGCTGCTCTTCCAGTTCGCGTCTCCTGATAAGATGCGTTTTGCCCTAGGGATGCTCTGAGACAAGCCTCCCCAATAAGGGGGATCGGGATCATTTAGAACAATCCGAGATCCCGGGTCAAATTTCGGGGATTTTAGGAGGATTAGGTTGGTTTTTGGCATTGAGGTTTGCAGTATACAGTTGAGTCAGCTGAGGCTTGCAGATGCCATCAGCAAGCCTGTGCTCACAATCGCGGCCCATCTCAGCAGGGAAGGGGTAGCACAAGTATGTACCTATGCATATTACATATATATATATATAAACAAATCCATATACATGTATATATATATATATGAATACATACTACAATTATCCAGATACGCATTTGCACACACGCACACATACACACATGCAAACAGGCTTTTTTCCGTGCATGCATGCCACCACGCATACATGTATACACATATACGCACACACACACTACACCACACTACAGTACATTACACTACATTACTTTACATTAAATACATTACATACACACATACATACACACATCCACACACACATCCATACACACATCCACACACACATACATACATACATACACACGTACAGACACACATACATGCATATCAATCTATATACCTGCGTGAGTGAGAGTGTGTGTGTGTGTGTGTGTGTGTGTGTGTGTGTGTGTGTTCGTGCGGCTCTCACCTCTTAGCTCGCCGCTGCAGCATCCGCAAGTTTGTCCAGGATGGTGGCCTGGGACTTTCAGCCCGAGCTTTTTGACCAGGTAGATCTGAATAACTGCGCAATCGGGTATGTCTACCGAACGATGGCTACTGCACTACAAGCTTGCCAATGTGCAATACCTACTGCTAAAGTCAGATTCACAAGCGAACATAAGCGAACCATGAGTTTTCTCTCAGATTCAGGCCAAGCTTTTCCTGGCAAAACCTTGGCAGCACTTTTCACACCCCACACGACGGGGTATTGATGGAGAGAGGACGAAATGGCATCCTCCTGCATTGAGACTTAGACTTGTCCTGTGATGAAACATGACAAACTGACCGACTGCACCCTCCCAGACTCCAGGACTCCAACTACATGGGGATGATCTGCAAATCTGCTGAACTGGGCCAGCTACCATCCTGCTGCAAGTAGCACGTGCGCCACCTTAGTCCCCGGCTAGTCCCAACAACCCTTTCCGGCCTTTGCATGGCCATGGTAGAATCTTGGCCCATGGCCCGACATGCCGATGTGGGGTGTATACTAAATTCTCTGCCCACTCCTTCCCCTTGCCAAGAAGACCTCTGGGGAACTGGCTGCCCTGCCGTTACGGCTTTCGGCGCAGCACCGCGGAGGTCAGCGCTGAGGCGCTTCACAAGCTCCTTGCAGCTTCGCTCACAACCGCACACATGGCAGGCAAGGTGTCAAGGCAGAGTGTCCAGTTCGAAAACACGGTCTCTACTTTGGGCTACAACTCCATCAGCAGACTTGTCCCAGAGCTACTTTGAGCAAGAAGAGTGACGCAAACAAAGGGCTTAGGAATGCGTAGGGTCATGTGATGACAACAGATGGGGCTGCGGCAATCTCTTCTTCTCCGAAAAATTGGGGTAACAACACCTTGGCGCAGAGATTCGTGTGGACAACTGTCCGAAAAGAATTCTTGCCAAGCAGACTTGTGACAGGTCCAGTTGCTGTCTGAGACTCTTGCCACGGAGCTTTGCCTGAGCCCCTCTCCCCGCTCTCACCTCTCGCGATGTACTTTGTGCCTGCCTGGATCTCTCTACGTTACATACATGTGAGCGCCGGCGACCCTGGCTTTCTCGACGCACAAAACACACCTTCATCCGGGAAGCTACGCACTTCTTCCTCCGGTTGAGTTCGCAACTGAGGGCTGACTGAGGGTTCAGTTTGGAATGAAAGTGAAACACAGAGCTTACATTAAAAGTGCTTGCGATCAGCGAATCTCCTTTCGGAAAGACCTTGTCGTGCATCTTTCGTGGGCAAGCCTTTAGATCAGTCGGCCCCCAGGTCTGTCCGGGGGGGGGGGGGGCATGGTGCCTCCACAAATCAAATCAAAACCGATTTCGCGCTGCTGAAGCCCATGCACAGATAAACGTCACAACTTTTTGGCTGCCTTCTTACATATATATATATATAGAGAGAGAGATTTCTATATATATATATATATTTATATAGAGATATTATATTTCTGTATATATATGTATATGATATCTCTACAGTGCCTCCGCATCCACGAGCTGTGGACTTCGGATCTCCCCACTCAAGTGCAACAAGCTGCCGGGCGGTCTCTGGGTCGGGCAGGGACACCACCAAACGGGGCCTCCAGGCACAACTTGTAGCGAACAAAGTGCATGACGAGACGCTGTAGCATACTGCAGGCACTAAACCTCGAAATCCCAAGCAGCGTCCTCAATTTATGGAGCAACCACAAGACAAGCTGAGACCTAATCCCAACGCAACAAAAAAGGGCGAATAGTGTGCGAATCCAAAGCAATCTCAACATCTTTGCCGATCTCAGCCCCCAAGACAAGAGCCCTCAAAACTGCCCCCCCGCCCCCCCCCCCCCTTCCCCCCGTTCTCTGCAGGGTGGAACTGGGGGCACAACCCTGTCGAAGCCTCTGGCTCTTCTTCCTCGGCCTATGCAAACGGTAATTGAGAGGCGATACATTTGCACTCCCGTGATGCGAAGTTTCCATTGGGAATGCTATGTTCTCTTGCTAGCTTTAGGGACTGGTACCGAGTACCTACGGAAGCTCAGCTGCAGCTGCAACAGCTGCAGCAACAGCAACAGCAACAGCAACAGCACCAGAACCACCACGACCACCACCATCACCACGACCATGATCACCACCATGACCACCACCACCACCGCCACCACCACGATGACGACGAAGACAACAATACGGTTTGTTCATACCGTAATAGTGGTTATTTGCGAGTATTTCCACGCCACGTCAACTTACCTGGGCGCATGACCAGCACGACCTGGCACTTGTTTTGCTCCGAGCACGGTCTGCAGAACGTCATCATTCACATTAATATTACTCCATCTCTTTGAGCATTCTGATTTCTACTCTTGATGTTTACGGAGTTGTGGGTTGATCCAGTCAACAGTATCGCACAGGCCCCGAGTGTGAAACGCGCAGCACGTCTTGGATCATGGCAGAGGGGCACATACCAGAGCAGGTGAGACAGCTCTAAGCTCTGCTTCTGAAACGATGATTCCCCCTGCTCACATCACTGCACACTGGCAATCTCTTCGGAAGGTTTTTTTGGCTGGACCTCAGAGACCAAAATGGAGAGATGAGAATGTCTGACGGCCACAAAAAACTCCGGGAGCGCTGCCTGTCTTCTCAGCCTCCTTCTTGGCAAGTACAACCTGGGATTCTTGTGAAGCACTGCCTGGGTCCGTGCTCGATCCCCCCTCTCCCTCTTGGGCTTAGGCCAACTTCTCCGGGATAGCCCAAGCCTCCCAATGACGATCCTCCACCAAAGTCAAGTCCTCCTGAGAAAGAGGGCATGCTACCAGTTCGGCTACGCTTGTTGGAAACGGTAGTGCACTATTCAGCAGCCAGTACTGGTATCAAAAGTCAGCCTTCTCTTCCAGCCAGTTGATGGTCACAAGCCTCTGTTTCAATGATCTACGTCATAGTCTGTCAAGCCAATCTTACGTATCTGCGGTACGGGCTTGGCCTGTGGACATACGGCCGCAACTCCTCCTCGTAGGCACGAAGTTACACCGTCAGGAGGTTATCCATATCAACAACTCTTTCGCACCCGCAAGCTGCTATCTGCGAGCAAGAGGCGTCTGATTGGTTTAACGTCTTACCAAACCTGCGCGTTTCCAAGCGAGCATGCCATCTGCAACATTCTCATTCAAACATGGAGCAGAATTAGGGCCACAGATCCTCTAGCTGCAGTCAGGCAACTCGCTGAACAGCTCGGAAACTTCGCATTTCCGTGGCTGTACAGCCTTTCCCCACCGGCAAGAAAGGGTTAAGCGCACAATGCGAATCCTGGCTAAATAAAAGCTGCCCACGCCAAAATGCCAATTCTTTGCGAAACTGAGTGCACGACGGCCCGCTGCGCAAGGAAAGCTGGTATAGTGTTGGGGCCTCACCGCCCCAATTCTGCTTGCCGGCCCCAGGCTATTGTGGCAACAAATTCCGCAGACGCAACGGTGTGATTAGGAGCACAACTTGTGGCCGCGATCTTGGCCAGGAAAGGATCGCCGGGTGCAGGACGAGCCTGTGGGCCTTCGCCATCAGCCGTGCGCTTTAATTAGGAAGCAGCGCCAACACATGCTCAACAAAATAATGACACTGCGATGTTAAGTGGACACTTTCGTCATAGAGTCAGGGAATGTACCTCGAATTCCTTGGGCCCTTTCGCGTTCTTTCCGCTGCCGCCACCTGGTCTTCAATGCAGATTGTGCAAGACTATGCAGGATTGGGGAGTGCAGCTGTGGACGGTGCATGCTGCATGTTCCTCAGAACAGAACACTCCGCTTTCCAGCCTGGCAACTCCCTTCCTGAGAGATTCTTTGGCTCTCTTTTCACGCAGCTCCTGCAACTGCAGATTCTGTCCACAATGATCAGCCCGCATGACAGCGAAGGCAGGACAGCGTAGAGCCGTAGAATGCTGTCCTTCGATTTGCCAGAGTCCGGCTTGAAAAAATCGCCGTCCTGCAATGCCGGCAGTCTGGCTGTGGCTTCACTGCACAGCCAAGACCAGTATATTCTTGATAGGCAACTTCCCAATACTGCCCATGTCCTCGACCCAGGAAAGGACCTGGTCATCCTCAAGCTGGGGGCATTGAGGACCACTTTGGATGTTTGAAGAAAATCTCCGGTATCTGCGGATGGCTGAGGCTGCCGCTGTCACCAGCGGCCGCCTGAAACATCCGCGGAACACACAGAAGACACAAGCTTTCGGCCTCTGCAAGAAGACAGCAGACGGAGTAGGAAGGATGCCTGGCCCGCTGCTTCTGCCTCCACTCAGCTCATCGTGTCATATGCAGAGACACGTCTCTAGAGGCCGAGGTGCCGGTTGCGAAACCAGTGTTGCAAGCGGCGGGCTGCCCAAGTTTTGGGATGGCGGCGCCTGAGCTGCGATATGCGGTGGGCTGAAAACAAGAGTGAGTCATGTGGTAATCAGATGGAAGTGCAATTCGAAGCGACAGATTGTGCAGGGCCTTACATGCTTGAGTTGGCAGTCCACCGTATCTCGTAGTTACAAATTTAGTGCGACTGGACACTTTTCAGCATCATCGCGCAGCTTCGCGAACCTGGACTTGCAAAAGCACGGCTGCAAGGGTACCCTCTGTGGACTATGCCCACTCCACGTGCTCAGCCACCTCCACTCAGACCAAGAAGCGAAATTGCAGGCGTAAATCCTTGCACCGCCGGCCGGAGAGTGTAGTTGACGTAGGCATTCACGTCTTGGATCCGCACACGCACTCAGCGTCTCTACTGCAATCCCAAACAAGAACAAAAGTAGGACATGCCAAGGAGCTGTGCGCGCCTTCGTCAGCATCCTTGAAGGAGGTTCGTGGAGTGACTGCTGCAACCAAAAACTTGAACTGCAGCGCAAAAGAGGCAACGATGCGAAGACCAATCCTTGTATATTGAGCCCATGGGGCATATGGACGAACGAAGAACGAAGTGGGTGAGCGAGAAGATGAGAGAAGCTGTCTAGGACTCCGAGCTATTAGACGCCAGGTTCTCGTGACGACAAGCTGCAGGATGATAGACTACTTTGAACCCGACGGTGTTCGTCCCTGGTCAAAACTCCTGAAGCAATCAGAAAGGGGTGTATTTCACGGCCGGGAAACCTTCAGCGAGCTGCTAGTCACTCATAGATGCCACGATACGCAACAAGGCGCCGAGGCTCAACGAAACACAATCGCGATCAACATTCTCCACAAGTTGTCTGAGGGTCGAGCCGGCACTTAGGACACAAGATCTGTCAGTACAGTCGCCGTGCGGACTTGCAACGATCCAGGGCATCAATGGCTTACAGAGAGAAGATCTTGTCATGAGTTTCGACTTCACACCAAGCCCTGCCCGAAGCGAAGGGCCTGAAAACCTCAAGTTATACGCGACGTGGCAGCTAGCGTAGGCACAAGCCGAGCCGCATTCTCCGCCAAGAAATCATAAATCTCATCTATCCTCGAGCTTTCTTCATCCCGGCTGTGCATGGCAAATGCAGCCAGTACGCACTACACACGTATGTGTGTATGTACAGACACACACATATATATATATAGTTAATTATATACATAGATATTTATATATGTAATTTCGATGGTTCATATCTTTATGTAGCAATATTCCAATTTCTTTAGCTCGAACATGTACGTCGAGTCCAAGTGTCAGCTTCAGTGGGACACCCCAGCCCTCCAGTCTGGTAGCCGGGACATAGCGGAGATCGTCGACCTGTAGGATTGTGGGGTTATAAGTGGTTTTCAAGGGGGCCTTGAGAAGGATATCTCCTCGTAACATGTGCATGTTCTGCATGTTCTGGTTGGCCTTCTCCAGCCAATGCTCGCCCACCAGCTTCTTGATCAACGTGCCCGCCTGGAAAAGGCATCCGGCTCGGGCAACGCTGACTCGACGCCTGAACTGTGTCTGAGTGCAGCTGAAGGCACGAACTCATCCTTCCTCAGCTGCGGCTACAAAGCTTAATCTCCACGTTTGTCCATGCATCGAAAGCTAAGTGGCTGGAGCTCTGCGCAGAGGTTCTTGAGCAGGTCCTTCGAGTACCACGTTCTGATAATTCACACGTTTTGGGCAGTGACTAGTCAGAAAACATTCCAAGGCCCTCCAGCAAGAGAAGGTCTTTAGGGTCAGCTTCAATAAGTACCTGTTTATGTCATATACATAAACATGTGTGCAATAACTTAAGTATATATATATACATATATATACATACATACGTACAGCGAAAAGTTGATACCAAGGGCAACAAGTATATGCTTTCACCGATGCTGTCATGTGTATATTATATGCATGGTATGCAAGCTAGGCAAGCCCGCCCCGCTTTTGGCGCTGCATTTTGCTGATGCTGCGCTCCAAATGAAACCAAGCACAGCAGCAATCATTCAGCTTTTAAGGATTTGAGGCACCATCTCTCACCGCCGCGAGCCGCGTTCCTCAGAGTCAGGTTTAGACCCTCAGAGTCAGGTTTAGCCGTGAACCCAAGTGCTTACGTAGCTCCGAAGGTGAGTTCATGGGGTCTCTTCATGCCAGGAGAGGCACGTCATTCCCTGCGATGTCGGGGTTTTCGCTTTTCATTCCCAGCAGGAGGAGGGGCACCACAAAGGCCACAATCACGAAGACGAAGGTCAGCCCGAAGATGGCATTGGCCGGGCTTTCTGGCTCCTCTGTGGGCCTGGAGATGGGGATGATACGCAAACTGCAAGGCATTTACAGCATGATGACTCCGAAAGGCACCGTCATGCATGTTCATCTGAGCTACACATGCAGATAGCTCTGCAAGGCACCAACTTGCAAGAGAAACATGTTCGCAAAGATTGGCCGTGATTGGCACAGGGAGTTGTAGCCGAGCGGCTCATAGGGCTTCGTCATGTCAATCTCCGCAAGCAGGAGCTGCGGCAGCTGCGGTATCTGCACCATCGGCTCTGACGTCATAGCCGGAGGGCTGAGAAAGGCAAGGCCTTGACTCACTCGGAGCCGAGGGCGGTTCCAAGCTGAATGGGGCCCTCTGCCTGCATGCCTAAACCCCCAAACCAAGGTTGTTTGAAGGCTTGTGCTGCTTCTTTAGCGGGGCCGCTAATTCCTTGGCCACACTCAACTGCCTACCTGGTGCTTGGTGGTTTAGGCAATCTACTGTGGGATTCTATGCGACTTGAGAACCACCTGCATGCAGCAAGCACATAGCTTGATGCATGTTCCCAGTACGACCCTGGCACAAGCAGAATATGCCTGAAACCGTTCAGGTTCACAGCTTGTGCCATCCCAGCAGCCCTTCAAAGCAGCTGCCAACAGCAGCAGCCCAGCAACCCGCCGATGGTAGGCCTTGCCGAGCTTGATTCGGGTGTGCGTTCTTCGAGTCACCACATCTTACACCAACTTTGCAGCTGGGCGGCCATCTTCGCACTCGGAGTATTCCCGACGTTTGCGGAGGTCTTCTAAATCCAGCTTGAGAATGGAGAAGGAGGTCACAGCACGTCGAGAAAACGGTCATTCATGTGGTCCCAAACAGACCAAAGAGCATCCAAAATGCTTGCAGATTGAAGTCTACCGAGTCTACTGTGCAAATCACAGCTGGAGTGCATCCGATGTACGCCCGATGTCCTTGGTTAGCTTCTGCTTCATCACCCGGACCAGAAGGCCATGTTGGTAAAGCTCTTGGCATCACAAAATATGTCTCAGGATCCCTTTGTTCTACCTGACCTTGCGAAAGCCGCCGCGCGACTTGGCCCCGCACATCGCGTGACAGCGGATTCACTCACTTGACAGTTATGTAGCTCTTCACAAGGATTTCTCAGAATGAAGCAGCTTGAGCCCCGGAGCGCGTGTGTCATGAGCGCTTCTATTGGGACATGTCAGCATTTCAGGGGACGAGAACACCTTGGCCACGGACAGACTCGCCAAGTCTTTCTTCGTGCTGCTGAAGGGCTTGCAAAACCTAAGTGTTCGCCCACGAGATAACCTTTGGCTGACCGAACGTGCGCAAGAACACGCTTGCAGACGACGAGCATGCAGGAGAGCATGCTCAATGCTGCTAGCAGCATTCATCACAGGCCCCACTGTTTTCGCAATCAACAGCACAGTGCCATGAGGGTCTCAGAGCGCACACAGGAGTTCCTCCAGCGCGACCTCGTCTACCTGTTTTGCGGTCAGTGTCCAATCAGATACAAGCGCCCCCAACACTCCACATTTGAGTCACATAAGTAGGATTTGCATCGCTTCGTTGTGGGGCATTCTTGGCTTCACATAATGGCTGTGCATAGAATCCCAGTTCAGGGCAAGGCGCCAGGAAGCACCGAAAAGACTTCAACTTGAGGTTTCCACTCTCGTAGTTGCACCAAGCAAGGCAAGGATGCTTGCAAGTTGGGATGCCGGGCGTTCCATATTGAGTGACATCTGTATACATCATGGCGTCTTGCATGTATGAGCAAGCAGAGCACTTATGATTTATGATTTCTCGCACTTTTATGGTATTTTACCCGAAGCAAAGTTTGGCAGACACCAAGAGAACGCTCCGTCTGGGTCCACCCGACACGCAAGCATCATGAGCATCATCTGCGCCCGGGTGTTGCTGATCCACCTCGTTTGCGGAATCGCACTTGGAAGCAGAACGTGCCACGGTTCACAAGAGAACGCTCCGTTTGGGTCCACCCGACACGCAAGCATCATGAGCATCATCTGCGCCCGGGTGTTGCTGATCCACCTCGTTTGCGGAATCGCACTTGGAAGCAGAATTTGTCACGGTTTACAAGAGAACGCTCCGTTTGGCTCCACCCGACACGCAAGCATCATGAGCATCATCCGCGCCCGGGTGTTGCTGCTCCACCTCGCTTGCGCAATCGCACTTGGAAGCAGAATTTGTCACGGTTCACAAGAGAACGCTCCGTTTGGGTCCACCCGGCACGCAAGCATCACGAGCATCATCCGCGCCCGGGTGTTGCTGCTCCACCTCGTTTGCGGAATCGCACTTGGAAGCAGAATTTGTCACGGTTCACAAGAGAAAGCTCCGTTTGGGTCCACCCGACACGCAAGCATCATGAGCATCATCCGCGCCCGGGTGTTGCTGCTCCACCTCGTTTGCGGAATCGCACTTGGAAGCAGAATGTGCCACGGTTCACAAGAGAACGCTCCGTTTGGGTCCACCCGGCACGCAAGCATCATGAGCATCATCCGAGCCCGGGTGCTGCTGCTCCACCTCGTTTGCGGAATCGCACTTGGAAGCAGAATTTGTCACGGTTCACAAGAGAAAGCTCCGTTTGGGCGCACCGCAAGAGTACGCTCCGTCCCGCACACATGCATCATGAGCATCATCTGAATCGTGGTGGTGCCACTGCTCCAGTTCGCTTGTGGAGCCGCCCTTGGACAGGACAGCACGCTGCAGAGTTGCACTTGAATCACAGTGCACACGGAGTTTTGGTCTACCAGCATCATGGGCATCAGGAGGACTGCGACACCCCACGAGAACCAACAAGCAATTCAGAGCCAGGACCGAATTGGAGAATTGTTTGAAGCCTGTTGAGCACAAACAGACATTCAAGAGCCAAGCTTTGTCACCCGCTGAGAACATGGGATCAAGAGCAAGTGGAGAATTGCTATCTCTCCACCTTTGTTTTTCAAAGTGGCAGCCTGACGCACTGTACTGCAAGGGATCTCATCAAGTAAATCCATCGGGGAAGTCCGGCATCGGATTCAATCTCCAGCAGCACAAACCCAGCGTTTCTACAAGTCAGGACGGGGTTAGACGGAGTTGGTAGTGTGTTCGCTCCCTCAATTCAATAAGCCACAGAAAATAGCACAAACAATCCCCAGCGGCCTGAGCAAAGAAGCGCTGCTGCTTTAGCCTCGGCTGCGGTAGCGGGCTGCCCTGGTTTCAAGTCCTGTATCTTGCTTTTTAAGGTTTTGGTTCTGTTTTCTTGCCGAGCTTGCTTCGCCTCGGGGTTTATGGAGACGTCTACACGCTTAAGAAACTGTGCCCTGTACCTTCCAAACCCACCTCGCCTTGTTGGATGTAGGCCCTTTAGGGCTGTAGTTTTCGGCCTAACTGCGGCTTCAAGCATGTAAGACCCTGTAACAACGTAAGTCCATCCTTCGCGATTATCATAAAAGTTCGTAAGGCTTGAAAAGATTAGAGAAGGCTCTGAGAAGGAAAGCTTCGTTGATAAGACAAGTTGGCGTGATCCTGAAACCACAATTCGGCTGCGTGGCCACTGAAAACGAGCCTCGGCTTGCTCACAGCGATGGTGACAGGCCACCAGGGCCTCCTATGACTTCGGAGAAAGGAAGACCCCCGTAGGGCTTACAGTAGGGTTTAGTAGTGGCCTGAGCGGCTTTATACGGGCTAGAAGGTACGCAAGGAGTTAGTTATCGTAAGGTGTACACATACATACAGACAGACAGACAGACATACATACATAGCAGAAGGTAAATAAGCATAAGTACATAAATATTATATATATATATCTATATCTATATGTTTACTTCTTTACTTGTCTTCTCTCTCTGTATGCAGTGGCATACTGTGGGGGCTCCCCACCTGCGCCTTGGCCTCGGCAGCTTGGGCTGCAGCAAGCTCAGACCGCAGAACTGCCTGGGACCGTCACGATCAAGCTTACGTACGAGTCTTTTCTCGGAGAGTTGCGATAGGGTGGCGGTTGCTTGGCTCCACTTCAAGATACGGCTCTCAGCACCACTGTTGCAGTCGGTGACCTGCACATCCTACATCAAAAAGAGCAGGCATCGGCCCGCCTCTCGAGCATTCCAAGCTTCCTGACACGCCAGAGAGACCCCAGGTTTGTTTCTCAAAGTTCTCCCAAAAAAATTCTGAAAAAAAAGGAGCTTCCCAAGCCCATTTAAATTTTGAGCTATGAACTTAGTGAGCTAGGTCTGCTGCCAAAGTTCTTTGAGTCCAAGGACCTCGGATTGCAGCTTGTCGCGGTAGGCATCTCGACGCACGACGACACTTTGGAGGATCTCCAGCCTCTGGGACCAAGTTTACCCCATACAAGCGGGTTCCTTAGCCCCATTCTACAAGGTTCATGATGGTTCATCTAGAATTTAGACCCCAAGGAGCATATGGCTCAGCCGCGCATTGGCCCCATGTGCAAGTCGACCGGACAGAGACTCTGGCACTTCAGGAAGCGATGCGTAAGCACTCGCGTAGCTTCTGGTAGCCGGCACTTGAAAAGCCTGCAAAGCTTGTTCCCTGCTTCGCCTATCTCCGTCTCTGGCCTCGTTGGCCTTAGAGAGCATGTCGCAAACGAAATCCAGATCGTCTAGGCCTGATTCAGCGATCGCCGACTTTCGTAGCTCGTGGTCCTCACGAAGTGCAAGCATGGTTGGTTGGAGCCTCATCTCCCTCAGCTTTTGCTCGACGCTGTTCGTCGCTTGGATTGCGGCCATGAGACTGTCTTCACATGCCATCTTTTCCATGTCGCAGTTTCGCAGTGTGTTCTCGGCGCCCTGGATGGCTGGGTCCACCTGCAGGGAAAAGATTCCGCGTTTGCAAACAAAGTGTCCACTTCAAACTAAGAAGATGTGTGGACATTGAAGCCCCAACTGGTCCCAGGAAAAGGTGCAAACATCTAATGAATCTAATTGACATGAGCAAATGCGCAAACGAGACCTGACCCGTGACCACCATGACCGCTCTGGCCGTTGCAGTGACTACAAATAAGCTCACAAGAAAACGACAAAGCTGCAGGGCCCACACAGTTCACAGCTTCAGGATCCTTCAGGCCTGCCGCATGTCCTGCTTCAGTCTCTCCAGCAGCTGTGCGGCTGCTTCGAGGAAGGGCTCTGGTCGCGGCCCCAAGGCGGGTGCACCTCTGCTTCTAGCTCCAGCTCTGGCCGCTCCAGCCCAGCTGTCTCTACCTGTCGAGTTCGCAGTGCTCGCAGTGCTCACAGAACTCGGAGAGCTCGCGGCACCTGCTTCCAGTGTCTCATGAGTTAGAGTGCACCGCGGCCGCTTCGACGGCGCCTCCGGCACTGCCGTACCTGCCCCTTCACCGCTGCAGTCCGGCACTTGCGGTTGCGGAGTTTGTTGCGGATAGATGCCGAAGGCGCCGAACTTGTCCAAGAACTCCTGAAACTGTCGCCACTCACAGAGCTGCACCTGCACAGTCGAAGCACTGAGCTGTCCGCGGGAAGTTGTGACCTGAGTCAAGATCAGCGGAAAAGCAGCAAAACGCCGCCTTGCCAAGAGCTCTACCCGATCCAGCATGGACCAAAAGCTGTGGGCGGCATCCGATGCCGAAAGGTTCGCGGCGGCGGTCACTCTCGCAAGGCTGTGCTGGCATCGTCTGGGGGAATTCTTGTGATCTGGCGCCAGGCGCTGAAAGGCCTTGAAGGCCCCAAGGCCAACGTTGCAAGACTCGGTGAGGAGCCCTATCTCTGGATATGCGATGTCAATGGCAACCATCAGCATCTTTGTCCATGTCTCTCCAAGACCCTGTGCAGACTGGATCGTTGCAGAGATCAAACGGAATTTCTCTGAGCTGGAGAGCTTGCTCTCGCCTGGACTCTCTTGGAGCATCGGCCAGACTTTCTCAGCAATCTCAAGTAGCGTCTGCGTGCGCCGGGCAACGTTCCTCGCCAGATTCTCATCGTCATCTACACAAAGGCGCTGTGGAATCGACAGGAAGGCGGCCGTTTGCAGGGGCTGACGCGTCGAGCGCCGGAAGTCCAGCATGGCCCGCGTCACTTTGCCGTCGTCAGCAAACTGGGCCATGGGATCTTTCCAGAAGTCCTCCTGCAACATCAAAGGCAGCTGCGCCTCTCGGAACAAGGTGCTCTTGCAGTGCGCTCGAAAGACAAACATGCCCACGAAGCGCTGCCAAGCCGTCCAGGGAAGTTGCTCATTTTGCAGGATCTGCGTTACGACGAAGAATTCGTGAGGTCCAAGGACCGTATGGAATGGCACCCACTTCTCCTTCTTGCCCAGGTTTGGCTGCACCCAAGCTCGGAACAGTGGCCAGAAGCCACGAGCTTTGGAATCCTCGAGTTGCAGCTCCTCATCGAGTCGGGTCAAGGCCTGTCCAACAGAAGACTCCAGCATATTGGACCCTCATTAGACTCCTGTGTTTTAACCATGCAGGAGATTGTTTCCCAAGTTTCAGGGAGCACGAAAGAATCTACGAATTCACATAATCCTTCTATCGTAACTTTTTCTTGCCAGGGCCCCAAGACCACGTTCGTTTTGAGAATCCAGGCGGCCAACCCGAGAAGCCGAGGAACCTCCATGCGCAGCTGGCATTGCAGGAACTGGAAGAAATCGTCAACCGCCTCTCCCAGCAGGTCATCGGGGATCTCGGACATCACCGGAGAGCCACAGCAAGCTCATCACGAGGCTCAGCGGGGCAGCGGGCAGGCGTCAAGTGGTGTTGTGCACAGGAAATGGAATTCCCTAATCACCATTGTTTGCATTCGCACACATACAATGACAGATAAGCTGGCTGTGATATGGGCCGGAAAACTTGGGTTCGTAAAACCTGAATGCTGCCTGGACAGATGCAAACCCGCCAAGTAACTCCAAACCTATCCAAGATGTTGTTTTCGATGCGAGCAGGTTTGGGGCACCTTAAAGGCAAGGTTCCTTAGATCGGATGGGCACCTTAAAGTCCTAAACTATTGAGACTTCAGGAGAGGTCTTGAGAGCGATCCGCCGAAGTTGCTCAGACAACGACTTATGCATAGCGCACATCCCTAGCTTCCACGGCCTTGTGCTTCAAACCTCCTCCCTCCCGATCTGACGCCCAAAGAACCCTCAACCCTGCACCTTACTGAGCAGTTTCAAGACTGAGAGGAAGCATATTCTTGAAACGGAGGGCTGCTGCTGATAACTCTTATGTCATCGCTGGGCTCTCAGCTGTCATTCTACTAGCTGTCCTGCTCGTGGGCAAGTCGAAGATTCCACAGCCACGTGCCTCGTGACCTGCGAAGTGAGACCTCTCCCGACGTGTTTCGTGGCGGGCTTGTGTGAGCTGCGGAAGAGCCAGGAGCAATAAGGCAACGGAAACAGTTAAGCGCTCACATAAAGTAAGAGGCATGGCAACTTGCATTCTTAAACCCTTCACGGTCTTCTCTTCTTGCACTTAAAGTTAGACTTCGATGGTTTCAGCTCCAGGCCGGAGCCAAAGCTGTCGCCGCTGCGTCCCTGAGAGGGGCTCCAGGCCTGCAGAGATGCTTGGATTGCAAGTTTTTCAAGGAGGCACCGATCCCATCTCTTGTTCTTTCTTGGGTTTAGGGGCTTGTTGAATCACAGTTAGAAAAGCCGAGTTTGCACAACAGTTCAACAGCCCACGGAACCCGCATCAAACATATCAGGCTCACCAGGAACACCCATCACGCTCCCTCAGGAATGGGAATCCCGAAATAAGGCCCTCCTCCTGTAAAAGCAAGGCGACTTCGGAAACAAGCCAAAGGCAGCAAGCCTGCAGCTACTCTCGCAGAACTGCCCCAGCGGCGAGGGTAGAGTTGCGCCACCTTCGTTTGGGTTTGGAGTGCTGGCAAGGCTGTTAACCCCGAGCTCTTCCCCCACAACCTGTCAAACAACTGCTTGAACCAGAAACACCGCCTACCACTGCACACCGGTACTTGGAGGCTCGAGAAGCTCTCTGAGTTCAGCGCTGAAGCCCCAAGACCTGCAGGACACACGGACATTTTGATAACTCCGGTGTCAGGAACCGGCCCAGGCGGGTGCCTGGCATCCAATGCGGCCACCACCCGCTGGAAAAGATCGAGCCTCGATACGTGGCTTTAAGATATCTGGAAAGTCAATGATTCTTGAAGATTTGAACCCAGCGGATGTCTTCCCATGGCAAGCACAACGACAGATTGCCACAAGCCTTCGAATTCACTATGAACAAATCGCAGCCCCAATGTGTGTTCGTTCATCAGGTTGATGTATGGGGATTCTAGGGCCTAATACCCTAGAACCCCCCCCCCCCCCCCCAAAAAAAAACCCCTTCTAGGGTTGATTTATGGGGATTCTGGGCCTAATAATAGCCCCTCCTGGTGTATTGTTGGTGTCTCCCAGGGCCCGAGGGAAGTGCGGCAGGAGTGCCTCCACTGAAGCCTTGGAAGCAGCCTGCCGCAGGCACAGTGGCACAACTGCTTGTCGGCAAAAACTGCACCAGACATACATATTATGTGTAGATGATATAATATAATATAATATCATATCATAATATATAATATTATATTATGTGTTATATAATATAGAATATATAATATAATTATATAATGTAATCAAATATAAATATAATAGATGTATATAGCTGCTCATCTGCTTTAGTAGAAGCACCCTCGAAAAGAGCAAGTTGCCTGTGCTATGCAGGACACCCGTTGCAGATAATGCTCGTCTTGAATTTGAGAGGAAAGTTTCGCTGTAAGTGATGCTCGTCTTGAGTTTCTGAGGAAGGTTTTGTTGCAATTGTTATACGTGCCTTGAATTTCTGAGGAAGGTGTCGCTGCAAATGCTGCTCGCCTTGAATTTTCTGTGGAAGGTTTCGTTGCAATTGCTACATGTCATGATTTTGTGAGGAAGGTTTCGCTGAAAATGCTACTCGTCATGAGTTTCTGAGGAAGGTTTCGTTGCAATTGCTACATGTCCGGAATTTCTGAGGAAGGTTTCGCTACAATTGCTACGTGTCGTGAATTTCTGACGAAGGTTTTGAATTGGTGAGGAAGATTTCGTTGCAATTGCTAAACCTTCCTCAGAAATTCAAGACACGTAGCAAAGCAATTGCTACGAAACCTTCCTCAGCAATTCAAGGCACGTATAGCAATTGCAACGCAGCCAAGACGAGCATCAGTTACAGCGAAACCTTCCTCGGAAACGAAGTCATGTAGCAATTGCAACGAAACCGTCCTCAGAATTTCAAGACACGTAGCAATGCAATTGCAACGAAACCGTCCTCACAAACTCAAGACATGTAGCAATTGCAACGAAACCTTCCTCAAAAACTCGAGATTGGTAGCATTTACAGCGACACCTTCCTCATAAATTCAAGCCTAGCAGCAAGTGCAACGAAACCTTCCTCACAAATTCAAGACATGAAGCAATTGCAACGAAACCTTCCTCAGAAATTCAACACCGATAGCATGTATAGCGAAACCTTCCTCAGAAATTCAAGACACGTATAGCAATTGTAACGCAGTTGTGAAGTCACGAAACTGACCGGCCAATGTTGTCGGGCTAGATGTTTCTCCCTTCCTGAAATTGGGGGTATAAGGCGCAAAAGAGGGTTTCAAAGGTCCCTAGAGGTTCCCACCACCCACCTCTGGGTTTAATATCATAAATCCCAATGCGGGGGTGAAGTGGGTTTGCCACGCCTGACAGTATTATATTACCGGATTTCCACAAAGCGGGCTGAACATCTCAATTTACTTGGGTCACCCTCCTTGTAGGCTCTCGGAAGTTTTGGAATTTGCTTTGGAGTTTTCAGGGTTTGTCGTAGTCTGTCCCCTCCCTTGATGCTCGTAGGGTTTTGTTTTGGGGTTTTCAGGGTTTGTCGTATGTCCCCTCCCTTGGTGCTCGTAGGGTTTTGTGAGGAAGCAAGATTTGCTTTAGTGCCCCACCCAAATACGGTCATTGCTTGTTGTTTGTGTCAGAAGACCGCGTCATGGCTCGAACAACATTGACCGGTCAGTTTCGTGACTTCACAACCTTTTTCGCACCAAAAGAGGATTTGTTTTGGCTCAAGGGTGTAGCTGTTCTACAGGGACCAGTACGAAACATGAAGGGTGTAGTACTACATGTGGTGCTAGTGCTAATTACATGTAGTACTACATGTAATACTAGAGGGAACAATACGAAACGCGAAGGGTGTAACAATTCCTGTAGTACTACAAGTAGTACTGCATGTATTACTACAGGAAATAGTACGAAACGTGAAGGGTGTAGCAGTTCCGGTAGTATTACATGTAGTACTACATGTAGTACTACATGTAGTAGTACTACATGTAGTAGTACTACATGTAGTACGACAGGGAAAAATACGAAACGTGAAGGGTGTAGCGGTTCTTGTAGTACTACATGTAGTACCACCTGTAGTACTACATGTACTACTACAGGGAACAGTACCAAACGTGAAAGGTGTAGCAGTTCCTGTAGTACTACATGTAGTACTGCATATAGTACTACATGCAGTACTACATGTAGTACTACATGTAGCTATTCCCGTAGTACTACATGTAGTACTACAGCCAGCAGTACGAAACGCGAGGGGTGTAGCAGTTCCTGGAGAACTACATGTAGTACTACACCTAGTACTACATGTAGTAAGTACGAAACGTAAAGGGTGTAGCAGGTGAAGGGTGTAGCAGTTCTTGTAGTACTACATGTAGTACTACAGGAAACAGTACGAAACGTGAAGGGTGCAGCTGTTCCTGTAGTACTACATGCAGCACTACAGGGAACAGTACGAAACGTGAAGGGTGTAGCAATTCCTGCAGTACTACATGTAATACTACGTGTAGCACTGCGGGGAACGGTACGAAACGTGAAGGGTGTAGCAGATCCTGTAGTCGTACATGTAGTACTACATGTGGTGCTACATGTGGTTCTACAGGGAAAGCTACGAAACGTGAAGGGTGTAGCAGTTCCTGTAGTACTACATGTAGTACTACATGTAGTACTACATGTAGTACTACATGTAGGACTACATGTCCTCCCCACTCCTCGTTTGGGTAATAAGCCGCCAAACAGGGGCGGCGGAACGTAACCCAGCCCTACTATGAAAAAAACAAAAACAGGCCGGAACGTAGCGGAACGTAGCCAGCCAAGAGCGGAACGCAAGACAATATTACACCCAAAAGCTCTCGTCAGGAAGCAGGACTTGCTTTAGGCTCCCATCCAATAGCTCTCGTGAGGACGACCAGAGGCTCTAGGCGATATCCCATTTGGCCGCTTGCGGTCCCTACAGTGCTAGCTACCCCACCTTCCCCACTCCCCGTGGGGCGGAACGTAACCCAGCCCTACTATGGGGAATCAGCAAAAACAAGCCGGAACGTAGCGGAACGTAGCCAGCCAAGAGCGGAACGTAACCCCAGCCCTACTGCGGGGAAAAGCCAAAAACAGGCCGGAACGTAGGCGGAACGTAACCCAGCCATACTATGGGCAAAAGCAAAAGCAGGCCGGGGACACTAGCCCCTTTTTTTCAACATGGTCTTTTCATAAAACAAACGGCTTCCTCACAAAAGCTATATAATAGTGAACCCAAGCTCTTGTGAGGAAGCAGGATTTGCTTTAGTGTCCCACTCAATAGCAGGTTTTCCTTGCTGTTTGTGCGAAAAGACCGCGTGAAACCCACCCAAAACCCATCCCAAACCCACTCGAAGCCCTGGCAGGCGTGGCAAACCCACTTCACCCCCGCATTGGGATTTATACTAATAAACCCAGAGGTGGGTGGTGGGAACCTCTTTGGGCTTCTGTAGCCCTCTTTTTGCGCCTTATACCCCCCCAATTTCAGGAAGGAAACATCTAGCCCGACAACATTGACCGGTCAGTTTCGTAACTTCACAACTCTCCGGCTATTTCGTTGTGACCATCCCATTAATCGTCGGTCCTCTATCATGTCATCGGATTGAATTTCTGAGGCAGGTTTCGTTTCAATTACTGTTGGGCTTGAGGAAGGTTTCGTTGCAAATGCTACTGTTCTTGAGTTTCTGAGGAAGGCTCGCTTGCAATCGTTACGGTTCCGTTGCAATTTCTTCTCGTCTTGAGGGTCTGAGGGAGGTTTGGTTACAAGTGCTATACGTGTCTTGAATTTCTGAGGAAGGTTTCGCTATACATGCTACTAGTGTTGCTACTAGTCTTGAGTTTCTGAGGAAGGTTTCGTTGCAATTGTTACATGTCTTGAATTTGTGAGGAAGGTTTCGTTGCACTTGCTGCTGGGCTTGAATTTCTGAGGAAGGTGTCGCTGTAAATGCTACCAATCTCGAGTTTTTGAGGAAGGTTTCGTTGCAATTGCTACATGTCTTGAACTCAAAGAACTAGAGGCGTCGAGTGTACTGAGCGGGTTGTGGGAGCTGAGGTTGTCGGGCCGGCTCAACTTTTTCCTTTCGATTGTCTTTTTGCTAAACACATCATTTTCTTTTCCTTACCTTTACAGACAAATCGAAACCCAGCTTGTCACATTTTGGCCCGGAACGGGGGGGGGGGGGGAAGAGGGAGGCATTACTGCTTAAGGCCTGAGCGGACATAAGGGACCATCCCTGAATAATCCCGAGCATGCCCGGGGCCTTTGGCTTTCCAAGCTGTGCAGACAATGATTGAACCTGAAAGCATCGGCACACATGATGGATGATAGCCACTACTGGCGCGGTGTGGCAGGCTCTGAGTTGGCTTGGGCTTGGGCCAGGCGCCGGTGAGCTTGTACCAAGCCTGTGGGCTTCAACCTTCGAGCCGCTTTGCAGCGGGCGATTTTCAACCTCTGGGGGGCTTTTCTTTGTGTGACTTCGCCTCTTGGGAGCAACGCTGAGGACTGGCCGCAGCCTGAGATGCAAAAGGATGTGCCGAGCCATGCCTGCATCTCACACCTCCGAGAGACATGCGCCGACATGAAGGCTCTTTTTGTGCGGATCTTGTAGGTGAAAGTGGATGGTGCACCTGTCCATGGTGTTGGACAAAGATGGAGGCAGTCCTGCGCCCGGCATATACGCGCAGCCTCCGCCTGGCTGGAGAAGGGAAGTCGTGATGATCTTGGCTGCCGCAAGCAGCAGAGGATCTCTCTCCCTGGGAAGACCAGGCGCGCACACAAACTGGAATGTCGATGCTTGGAGGTACAATAGTGGTAGTCTACTTAGGTCATCAGAATGTTCAAGGGGCCCTATTGCCATTCTGGTATATAGGCCTTTGAGGAGACTATTGCTACACCTGAAGCCCATGAGCATGTTGGGAACTGAGGCGCCAGCGCTGGCAAAGCAACATGCTGGCCCAGACATCGCGACGAGCAGAAGCAAAGGTCTGCCTGCGACGTGGCAACAAGGGAGTGACTCTCACGAAGTATCGCAGGCACATACCTCAACATATACTGAGAGCTTGCTTTCTTCGTATTCTTTTTCACGCTGCTGTAGTTTTTTGAAAAGGGGGATGTAGAAGGGGTGGGTCCATGTTGAGGTTTTAACCACTAAAGAGGGAAAGGCGATTCAACTCATGCGCCGAGCGTGCCTCGGGGCTGCCTTCCGAGACTTTGGGAAGTGCACAGAGCCTCTTGCGAACCAGAAGCACCCCAGGGCTTGCTGCGTGGTCCCTACTTTATATAAATATATATATTTTTATATATTTATACATAGATGTCTATATGTCTAGAGAGATGTGTATGTATGTATATATATATATATATATTATATACATATGTATTTATGAGTATATCTCTGTGTGTGTGTGCGTGTGTGTGTCTCTCTCTCTGTGTTCTGTGTACGTATATATATATATATATATATAATATAATATGGACTTTGGATATGTAAAATGTGTCATTTCCCTCCAGTCTATGTTTACTCTCCCACTCCCGGTGGGACGCTGCCAGGGAGCCCAGATGCCGGCTCGCCGCCTTCCAGACGCCAAGCTGATTTCAACGAAGACGACGCGACAAGCACGGAGAGGGAGAGGAATAATTCCTATTGAGGTACATGAACCATAAGCTTGATTTTCGGGTTCATTTAGGGTCCCTGCTATTCAAGCAGAAAAGTCGCCAAAGAGGAAGCGCATGCGGAGAAGCATGCGCCGCCTGGAAATGTTGTCCAAGAGATGCTTCACAGCAAAACCCACAAAGAGCCACTTCAGTACGTAGTGTGTGCAGGAATTACAGCCGACCTGGCTACCTTGTCAGCCTGCCAAGCCAACAGCAGCAAATTCTGGCACTACAGCAATAAACGGACCCAACACCAATGGCCTGGCAGGGGCTTCATCTTCGTTGCGAAATCTAACCACCGAGACAACTCCGCTGCATCGCCACCTCCAGCGCTGATCGGCTTGAAAGGTTCCAAGAAACCACTCCTTCTCAAGCATCAGGGTTTAGGGCTTTAGGGTTTTTGGACCCAGCCTGTGTTCCTCACGATGCCCATGAGTTCAGCTCGGCCTGGCTCGAGATCATGCCCAGAGCCCCATAATCACTCGACCCATCGCGACCCTGCAGCCTCCGACAAGATCTGGGCCGAGTTACAGCGTCTTATTTCGGGATGTTTGTTCCAACGACAAATAAACGATCAAGAATAGCCACTTGCACAGACGCGTACCTAGCTGTCCGCAGCAACTCCAGTTCAACGAGGCGTGTGTTGGACTGAGCTGGGACTCCCGGCTCGTGCCCGCAGCCAGCGCCAAGGATGCCTGGAGCTGGCCGCAGCTGCGACCGCACGATGCACCTCTGGATCTTATCGCTTCCGAGGTGTGACTATCAGAGTGGGCCCTGTGCTTAGGCCCCTGGCAAAACAGAGGTTGTTGCGAGAGATGGTCTTTAGACAAGGGGACCTTCAGGGGCCAGGTCAGAAACACTTCACAGGTTGCCATGTGGATCAAGTGCACTGCTCAAAAGCATGCTTTCTCCGCCGATTCCTGCATTGCAAGACCACGCTTGCAGTCAGGCATTGCAGGTGGGAAGCCCATTTGCGGCAGACCCTTTAGGAAACTGCTGGCGCATGCACGCAGCGGACAGTATGTAGTTCGGACAGTGTGGCCCCAGCAGTCAGCTGCACGCAGGCGATGTGTGAGGAGCTGGTCACGAACTCCTTGCGCTCGTTAACCAGCACCTCCCTCCACGCAGCAACTGCAAGCGCTGGTTGCTGACGTGCTACAAGAGCCTTGATTCACCTGAAATGCCTAGCGGCCTAGCTTGCTATCTCTCTGAAGCAAGGCTGCATTTGAACTCCGAGGTGAAACTGCGAGAATGAAAAATGCCTGAGCTGCATCTTATGCTTATACCAGGTCGATTTTTCATAGAACGTCAGTTCAAGAAATCCACCAGTCTGCGGTCAGGACAGAGAGCAGCAGGTGCATCAATACACAAGTGGCACTGCTTAGCTATTGGGCTACCTCTTGTAGTGCCTCTTGTTTCGTAGGAGTTCAGCCAACACAGCAGCACCTCCAGCCGAAATAGGTTCCATCGGCTCCTGTATGGTAGCCCACCAGAAGCCTATTCATTCCATCGATAGAAAACCAAGATGCTCAACGTCCCCTCTTATATGGGAGACTTGTGCCGTCATGCTACAGCCAAGGCCGGGGAAAATCCAGCATGGCTTTCCAGCTACAACGCCCCTGGACATCCAACCGCAACTGGGATGGCTGTAGCGTGAATTCAGGGTGAAGACAATGCGCTCCGACATTGGTCGCTCGAGGGTTACTTTTTCCCAAGCTCATCTTGGTCGCCTGGGCTTCAGAAGTCTTCGGGGTGATTCTTGCCACACGCTTTCTTCGAAACTCAGCAGCTAGGCACCCGGCTCAGGGTGACATCTAACTCCTCTGGATCGCAATAGGTTTCGCCCTGGCATCAACAGCCACTTTTGCTTTAGAGTACCGCATGTCAGGAAACGGGAGAAACTTGAAGGCCTTGGGTTCCCACGGCGGCTGCAGTTCTCGACCCAGCAACCTTACAAGGGGCGGATACTGTAAGGCTGGGACGACATAAGTGGATGTGAGGCAGGGGTACGTGCAGAGAATTCGCACACGGAGCAATGCTGAACGCTGCTGAACCGCTTGACTAAAATATGAGACGTCTGCGAGAAAAGCTGCCCAAGCAATTACAAGCCCAAGCCGCTTGTCAAAGACGCAGCCACCCTGATGGCCCTGCAAGAAGAAGTCCGCACCACGAACATCCTCAGGGAGACCCACATTCGGATGAATGCAGGAAGCAGGAACGACATGATTACACGATGCACAGACAGGACCGTCACAAAAAGCAGCAGATGCAGTAACAAAAGCCGCGGCATTCAACAAGAGGAAGACGCGATCTTTAACCCGGCCAGCCTCGACCTACAAACCGCACCATGCAACCCAGATGGCAGAAGTAATTGCGGCTCCGGTTTGACACACCACTGACACACCGTTGTGTGCCCGACTCTCACTTTCCGTCCCCAGGAATGACATGGTAGACTCGCCCCTAATATGCTATCCCTGTGCAGAGCTTCCTCCCAGCCGCCGATGCCGGAGCCCAACCGCTTGCCTGAAGCTCAGCATGATCTGAGTTCCATTACCCGCGATGCGAACCATTACCGATGGAGTGAGCCCTATGGTTTGTTTGCATCCATGTCTTTGACACCTGGGATGTACTAGTCAAAAACAAATCAACCCCTATGAACCTGAAAACCTGCTTTCTCCTTGTGATCCGGGATTTTCACTGCTTCGCTCGCCTCGCAACTGCCAGCGCTGAAGATTGATTTGATTCGTGTTGTGCCCAGGCACGAGGCTGCCGCGTGAGGAGGCCTTTCATCAAGGTCTTGCCATTCGCCTCGGAAGACACACACTGAGCCTGCTGCGACCAGAACGGCTTCTCTGCATATTGATGCAACCATGCGTCGTCTTTGTAGCTGGATGGAAACTGAAGAGGGTCCTGGTTGGCACAAGCTTGAGGCTTTGCGTCCACAGTTCAACTAAATTTGCAAGGCCGCGCAATTCCCGACAGCACCTATGGCCACGCAGCTGCGAGCGGCTAGTTCATTTTGTGGTGATCAAGTCGTCATCTTCTGCAGAGGTTGGGTCCTTTAAGACTGCCGTGCAAACTTCTGTCGGGTCGTCCAGGTCATCTGCAAAGGGGAGATAGCCTTATGTAGCAGCACGAGTCACTGAGGCTTCCTGCAATGGCATGGAAAGACTCATGTCACTGCGCATGGAGGATGCACAGCCGAATGCTAGGCACGGAAGATGATTGCTCTTTAGATTACGATGGGATGCTTTGCTCACGAGAGCATGACATTTTGCCACATCTTGCCAAAAGCGCACTTCCTGGGAATAAACTATCCAGGATAAATGATGTGGACGTCAGCCAACTGCCAATCGCCCATCACGGCCGAACCTACGGGCACGCGGGCCGCTTAGAGCCCAGCAGCAACAGCCCAGGAGACTGCATGGTAGACCGGAAGCAAAACTGCAAAGTAGCCCAAGGTCAAGAAGACCCCAAACTGTCCGAAGACTCGCTCCTTCTGAAATGGCCACCGCCAGCTCAGCTTATCTCCTGAAAGATGGCACAAAGCCAAGGCAAGCAACACGGGGCCAAAGGCCACAGCGAAGCCAGTGAGTTGAGAAACTGAGAAGCCGAGCAGTTGCTTGGCTGAGTGGGCCGTGGCCACAGCTACCAGCGGCACCATGGAAACCCAGAAAAGTGTGTAGATGCCATGGTACATGTCTTTGGGCAGTCCTAGGTAAGACTCGGGGGCCCAAACCTTACTCTTGCCGTTGTTGTTCTGATCCTTGTATTCTCCCTTGTACTCCTTGGACTCACCAAGCTTCTCCCGAAAGGTGCCACACCACTGGTCGATGAAGCCACTCATCGGGGAGCCATAGTTGCACTCGAACTTTGCGTGGTGGCAATAGTGATACTGATCCGATTGAAAGTGATCTTCCCAGCCACTGTGGCCACAAGCAGGGGCAATGGCCAGGTGGAAGAAGCACCAGTAGAAGAGGAAGGGAGAAAGGCCAGGTAGATACAAGGCAGGGATGAAGGCATTGGAGAAGTAATACAAATGCTCTATAGGATGCATGGTCATCCCTGAGAACGGCTCGGGATCTGAATTTCTATGGTGCAGGCTGTGTACATATTTGTAGATTGCCCGGATGTGGATGAAGCGGTGGGCGGTGTAGAAATGCAAATCACGCCAAATCGGCATTGCCAACACCCAAAAGATGTTCCAGCAGAGAAGCACCGGACTGGAATAAACCTCTGCGGCGGTGACGTATGGCACCCTCTTGGTGGCCCAGATGCGCATCATGATGGCTTCCAGAAGCGTCCACTGCAGCACGCCCAACGACCTCACAAGAAGCCACAAACGGAAAAGATCCTGTGAGGAAGGCGCGACGCAACGTTACAGCCATGATGCGTACGGAACCCATCAACCGCTGGGATCCGTTGGGAGACCATTCGGTCATTAAGGAACTATTCATCATGATGCGAGGGAGGAAAATCGTAATGCAGCAAAGGCTCCAGTAGTAAAGGTTGTGGGCCATGTTGCCAGGAGTGGGAAACTTCTCTGGCGAAAACTTCCGACTGGACCACTGTTTGACATACAGGCCATAGTAGAAGAAGCCGTAGTAGCCCAGGGCAACTGTCAAGTTCAGGTACATCCTCGGTAAGACCCAACTCCAAGACCAGTTCCTGGCAGCTTCTATGTCATACGGAGCCACGGTATAGATGACCAGGGCAAGGATGCACCAGACCAGGTTGGGAGAGTGGAAGAAGAACCTCAAAGTGCCAATCCTGGGCTGCCGTTGAGGACTCCCGAGTACCGAAATCGGAATCCATGCACTTCATTACATCCCAGGATGATGGTGAAAGTCTTGATACCCTACCTAGTGCAAGTTGCTTGAGCAGCCAACACAAAACAACCTTCGATACCCTACATAGTTCAAAGTTACTTGAACAGCAACCGAGAATCTTTCGGAGCGTGTTCTGAAGGCCGAGCTGGTCCACCTGACTGGTGCACCCTGCCGGCTTGGTCGCGTCCACCCAGGATTCCACGCCCCCAAAGACCTTACCACCTTCATTTATGGGTTTTAGGGTTTCTGCTTTAGGGCTGAAGGGTTTAGGGCTTGGGGTTTGTTCCGCCCTTCTCGATTCATAATCCCCTAAGCCCTGACACCGAAAGGGAATGATGGGATTTACACACACTCGGGTGATTAGTGCCTTCGTTGGGTGAGGGTTCTTGTATGGTACTTCTTAAGCTCAGGGAAACCTGGGGCCTGGCAGTCCACCCAGGCGAGTCCAGTCGAACATGGCTCCACAAAAGGATCGGTCTCTGGCTCGTGCTTTCGCGTTTGGGATCTTAAAGCAGAGCTCTATGAAAGAATGCAATAATAGAAGAAACTTTAAACAAAAACGCATATATATATATATAGATATTTAGAGAGATATCTACATGTGCACATGTATAATGTCGCCACACCAGTACGTAGGTGGCAATATTGCAGTAACTGTACATGTACATAATAGTTCTCCTCCTGTAGTATATACATACATGCTCCTCTATGTACAATACTGGGCTGTGCTTCTTTTCTGGAATCTCATGTCTTGAGACGTTGTGGCGAGCAAGGCCAAAGCCAGCCGACAAGTCCATCTCAGAAGCTCAGAACTTCGTGAGTCCTGATACGTAGTTCAGCAGAATATATCGGGCAAGATGCCGCAAACGAACTCGTACAGCATCACACCCATTGACCACAGATCAACCTGACGCGACGCATGCGGCACAACAGTGCACTCGAGGTACTGGGCTCGTCGGTCCAGTCGGGGATCAGATGCCGACAAGTCCGCTATGCCTTCCGATTCCTGTTATTCATGTCGCTGATTTGTGCATGGTGCCGGGCCTCCGTTCCATACCCATGGCCCCGCATAACCTCCGGGGCCATGTAGTGCGGAGTGCCGATCCTCGGAATCAAACCATGCGACAAGAAACAAGTCTTCTGCCTCTCATGAGGGGCAAACGGAAGGCAACGCAAGCTAGCCCAAGTCGGGCACGCCCTGAAAAACCCTAGATACCCGGAGACTCCCACAAAACAATAAACCCTCAACACCCTACTGCCCAATACCCTGAAAGCCCAAATGCTCTAAGCGCCCTAAACCTTCCCGAAAACCCGAAACACCCCAGATCCTCACAGCAAAGACCCCTTTTTGATGCATGGACTGAGAGCGAGCATGTTCGACACAGCTTGCAACATGAATCCGTCAATGCCCCAAAAACCTCAGTACCCTACATAAACCCTGAGTACAATACCACAATACCCCACAGCACGGACTCCCCAAATGAAAGCTTCGAAAGAACCGAAATACCCAAACCCTCAATAACAGTAAAACCTCAAGCCGCAAATGCACTAAACTAAAGCCTCTCTCTCTCTCTCACAGGCAAGGCAGCTCCAAGCTCCGTCTCGCTAAACTAAACCCTGCCCTACAGTCTCTCAACCTCAACACCCTAAAACCCTAAATGCCTACCCCTATCCGAAAGAGCCCTCATGTTGGTTTGAATAGTCGCCCCCCCCCCCCCCCCCCCCCCCCCCCCCCCATTTCCCGGCCCAAAAGGACTGGTTCTCTTGAAAGCATCTTTGTTGAGCCCCGCTCCCCATCATATTGCTCCTCCACCATCCTATTTACTATGATGGAATGAATAGCTCGCAGCTTTCCAGTCCTTGTCCGACCCTAGATGCTAAACTGAAGCGTAGCCCCGCGAGCTTTCGTGATATGTACCTTCACCACTGCCGGAAGAAGCTCCAACAGGCACAGGACAGGCTACCTTGGAATGTTGACATGGGCCGAGTCGCATTGTGAAGGTCTTACTTTCTCCCTCCGGCAGCTTCTTCGCGATGCCAAAATCGATCAACTTCAGGTAGCCCTGTGCATCAAGCATCACCTGGGTTATGCATTGAAGGCAACACTCAACTGCCATTGCGTGGCTCGAGACATGCCCCTTTCCTGCCAGTAGCCAAGACACATTCTCAGGCTTTAAATCTCTATACCTGGGCCAGTTTAACGAGCTTTTTTTCTCTGGAGGTGGGGGGAGTTCAGAACTACTTCAGTCATTTTGAGGCCCGCGCAGAATATTTCGCTCGGAGAGCTCCTGTTGCCATGGGAAGGGCTAGCACCACATCAATGTATCTCTTACACTTGCCGAGGGCTCTCAAACTGAGAGTGTTCACAGGTGAGGGGAGGGGACGGGGGGGGGGGGGGGGGGGGGGTCCTCTAGCACGATAACCAAGGAGCCCGTGTAAAACTGCGCCTGGCCAGGGTAAACAAGTCAGATTCTGCTTTGTGCCGTGATCGCCTGCCTGGGCTCTGGAGAGTACGGTTGGTATCTCCCTGATGGCACCTTGCCGATCGAAGCATGCCATGGAGCTGGAGACAGGGAAGAACAAGGAACAAGAATATCTGAGCCAGAATGCCATGCAGCTCTCCTCCAGTAATCAGCTCAGTAAGAATGTAGACCTGAGCAGCACTTTCCTTGACTCTCTCATCTTCGACCTTTTCAATCCTTTGATTCTTTCTGGGGCTGGGACGCTCTTCGTGGTCTCAAAGGTGTTGACCTGTGTCATGATGAAGGGGTGGTCGATGTCTTTCCTCAGATCAGAACCGAGCTAGCAGGGGGCATCCAGGTCTAACGATGCCAAATCTTTGAAACTCTTCCAGCAAAGCTTCAGAAGCGAGCACTCGCGCTGCACCTCTTCTGGCACCTCACCATCGACCTTCTTTACCCGCTTGAGCCTTGAAAGCCAGGCAGCTGCTAGGCAAAGGGAGATTACCGCCCCGACGTGCCCAGAAGCGACATGCAACCATGCTAAGTGCTGTCTGGCAGAACGCGTAGCGCATCCCAGTCGACTTGTGCTCAACCAGGCGAACAACTCCAGCGGCACCTGCCGCAAGCGTTCCGCAAACGCGGAAGGCGATAAGAACTCTCAGAGCTCACCGTCAGCTTGCAGAGGGTTCTTGCCTGCACCGATGACCTTGACCTGGATAACGTCCTTTAAGCCAAAATTGGTATCCTGAAGCCTGACATGTTGCTGGATTCGGTCCAACCAAGCCCACGAGGGCGTGCGATGCTGCTGCATGACGACTCAAAAGCCGTGCCTGATGCGATTCATCAGCTGCTGCTGCCTTGAGACAATGGTCGAGGTCGGCACGGCAATAGCAGATCATAGTTGCCCATGCTGTGCTATGTTGCGCCCTAGCACTACTGACCCCGATACCAAGCTGCATGTTGCCCGCGATGATCTTCTCGAAGGTTGCCTGCAGCAACATCGAGCCAACAACCACTGATTGGCCACCTACTCTCGGCAAAGGACAGTCGGCCATGACAGTCTAAGGTAAGTGACCTTCTCGATGGCCCAAAGCTCTGCATCAGGTGACACCACCTAAGCGGCGGGTGCCACAAGTGAAGTGCTGGATTTGTGTGCATATAAATACTGTATGACTCTCCTCTCTCTCTCTATCTCTCTCACGCTCTTTACCATGTATAAGTATGTGTCTACAGGAAAATGAATACATTATATGTAAATAAATATAAATTTTAAATATATATATATGATATATGACATGTCTGTATGTACTTGGTCACATTGGCCCTGGCACCTTCACCGTCGCAGTTCGGGGCTCATGGAAAAGGAGAGCACGCTCGCCTGGGCAGCAGTCACGAGGTACAGGCGGCACTGAAAGTCGAAACCACCCATACCCAACACATCTAAACCCCAATGAACGCACCGGTTCAAGCGAAGGCGAAGAAAACATTACCAAATCCGAGTTCCCCAATGAACGCTGTGGGCGGAGCGCCTTTTAGACAGCACCAAAGCATGGTACAAACTCAATTTCCCGAAGGAACGCTAGGGTCAACCTGGTCCTGGCAAAGCAGCTGAAATCCAATGTTCGTTTGGAATCCCCAATGAACGCAAGGTGATTACAACAATTCGCTTGCCATCTTCGGCACACAGCACCACCAGGCTGTGCGTCCCTACATGTGTCGCACCCCTTGGTTTCATGCGTATGCTACGGGCTCGTCTTCAAGACAGGTGCCAGCACTAGCTGTGCACAGGGGGTTGAGAAGCAACACAACAGCGGTTGCAAGCGGTGCTTGAACAACCAAACTGCAAGGCCACAATTGGTTTTTGTGTGTTTTTGTAAGGCTTTCAACATCATATGTTTGGGCATGTTGGAGCCTGCCTGATACGTTGTTTATAAAATCTCAAAGTTCCCAAGTGACCGCATCTCGGGGTGCCTTGTTGGAGCCGATTTGGGATTCATGACGTTTAGGGTCATCTCCGAGTGACCGCGCCTTTGGGGGGGATCTTTGTGGAGCCTTTCTGAAGCCTCCGTGGGATCCTTTTGGAGCCTCCGTGAAGCGTTGTTTGGATTCTGAAAGCGTTTTGGGGAGCCTTGTTGGAGCCGATTTGGGCTTGGGTTTTAGGGCGAATCTAAGTTCCCAAGTGACCGTGCCTTTGAGGGTACAGGGTATTCATCTTCCAAGCCCCTGGCTAACCGAGCGCACCGAGGCGCACGTACCGAGCGTTCTGTCTTCGAAGCCCCGGGTGGTTGTGAGTAGACCGAACTGCACGTACTGAGGTTTTCTGGCGCAAGTAGATCGATATACTTGTTGCTCCGTGTGACCGATGCCCCGATTACCGGAGATGCGTTTTGAAGGCATACGCCCATTTTGGGGTCCGCCTGGCCCTTCCACGATACATATCCACGATGCCTGAACAAACAGACCTGTCTGGCAAAGGTCTTTTAGAGCAAGGAGTGCGTAAGGCGCGCGTAAGCTGCGCGTAAGCTGCGCGTAAGCTGCAGCGGTCTCCGTAAACCAAGGCAAGCACAGCCGCGTTGGTATTTAGAGCTTAGAGGAAAGCTTGAATCGTTGTGTTCTGTTCCAGTGCGCCAGCCGACGAATTCTCCCGCGTTTGTCAAGATAGCTGAGTCCCTTGTGCTATGATGGAAGTATCGTTCTCTCGCGTTTCTCATGATAACTGCGTCAGTTGTGCCAAACTTACGCAGTGTACTGGCCCATTTTTCAGGACAGTTGAATCCATTGTGTCTTGAACTCCTTGATCCAGCACGTTCTCCCACGTACGTCCTGATAGCTGAGTCGCCTGTGCTATGCATTAGGACTTTGCTCGACCGAGCGAGTTCTCCCGCTTGTTATGATAGCTGAGTCGATTGAGCCATATTAGAGGATTTCGCTCGACCCAGTGTGTTCTCCCGCGCTTGTCAAGCTAACTGATGAGTCGTTCGTGCTATGAATCAAGGCTCTGCTCGACACATCGTGTTCTCCTATGGTTGCCACGATAGCTGAGTCGCCTGTGCTATATGTTCAGCTGAATCGCCTGTGCTATATTATTAGCGGACTCTGCTCGACCAGCGTATTCTCCCGCATTTGTCAGGATAGCTGTTTCCCTTGTACTATGACTGAAGATTTGTTTGACCCAGAGTGTTCTCCCGTGATCGTCATGAAAGCTGAGTCGCCCGTCTATACATTGGGACTTTGCTCGATCCAGAGAGTTCTCCTGCGTTTGTGATGATATCTGAATCGCTTGTGCATTTTAGAAGATTCTGCTCGATCCGACGCATTCTCTCGCGTTTGTCAAGATAGCTGAGTCCCTTGTGCTATGAGAAGATTCTGCTTGACCCAGCGCATTCTCCCGCGTCTGTCATGATAGCTGAGTCACCTGTCCTACGTGTTAGGGCCCTGCTCGATCCGGTGCGTTCTCTCGCGTTTCTCACGATAACTGCGTCACGTGTGCCATATTTGCCCAGCGTGCTACGTTACAAACCCGCTTACCCCCAATGAACGCTGGACGGTAACGCCTTCCATGTTTTTTTCTCCCCAATGATTTGCATCAAAAACAATGACCGGTTTAGACTTCCACGGTTCACAGTAGGATAAACCATTGTGTCGGGCAAAACCTGGCACGACCCACCCGCCGCACTTGTGAGGCAGTAATGCATTAACAAGTAACTCGGCCCCGCAAGACGCATGCTTCAGCGAGTGTGAGAGTCGAAAAAATTTGCATTAACTCGATGCTGTTACTGTACTGCCAAAAGTCGAAGTATGCGGACCTTGTCAAACAACGCAGTGTAGTGCAGCGGCGGAGTTCAGCAGATGCGCAAAAAGGCACAGCCATGCATTGTAAGGCAGAGCGCGATCGGGATGGACTCACATGTACACACATTTTGATGGAACGAACAGCCATTACATCTTTCGCGGGTATACGCATGTGATAAACCTGTATGAACATCGATACATATGCAGTATGTCTTAAAGGCAGCCCATCATGGGAACATGAGTTCGTATACGTCGCTTTATCACTAACATATCACTACGATGATTAATAAAGTGCTTATATAAATCTTGGTCATGTGAGTCGGCCTTCAACGATCTTTCAGTGAATTCGCAGTGAAACCCAGCGCCGGGCCCCTGCTCAGACCTCGATGTCGCGGAGCTTTTTCACGGTCTTCTCGACCGCATCATTCACATCACCCATGAGGAGCCCCACCATAGTGTGTGCCACAGCGTAGGTCATCTTGGTAGACATGATCGTGATGCCCCCAGCAAGAGCATGAAACTCAACTCGCTTTCCGTTCTTGGCCACCTTGCGGAAGGGGTAGTGCGTTCCTGCCACTGTGATCCCTTTTTCCTTAAAGGTGGCGAATCCATCCTCCTTCATGCCGGCGGCGATGGCCTTTGCCTGGCAATGATTCGACAACGGCAATGACTAGGACGACGACCACAACGAGGAGGAGGGGGAGGAGGGGGGGAGGAGGAGGAGGAGGAGGAGGAGGAGGAGGACGAGGACGAGGAGAACAAGGACCAAAGACGCAACGGACCATGCCAACCTAATACTCATCATCAGACCCAACCGAGCCTCCTCTTCACTGATGGCAAGCACGTTCTTTTGGCTGCGTGAGGTGAGCATCTTGGATCCGTCCTTTGCGACAAAAGCGGCCTTGTCACAGTTCGGTTGCCCAAAGCCGTCCTTGCTACGAGAAATGAGCTGCCCCACAGTGTGGTCGAGGAGCATGCGAAAGTCTTCCTCGTCCTCGGATTCCTTTGTGATGAAGGTCCCCGCTCTGGCTGCGGAGGAGGCAACGGGCTCGGTGGACGGCACTTTTGCCAAAAGGCACCAAACGGCTGCCACCAGAAGGAGGCCGCCGGTGATCCAAGCAGCCCACCGTCCACGGGCAACGGATCCCTTGGTCGGCCCGCTGCACTCGTTGCCCTCGCTGGGCGTCTGGAGTCCGGCCTCCAAAGCTCCCTTCATGAGCTCTTCGTTCTCGCTCAAGGCTAGGGTATCCATTGAGACTGTCTAGGAGTCTAGGCGACGCAAGGACGGGCTAACAGAGAGCGAGACTGGTAGTCAGAGCCGAAGGGTCTGCCCGCAGACCTCTCTACAAGGAACTCCTCAATCAAAATACCCTGGAACCAACAAAAGTTAATAATCATCCCCATCCCTGAAGCCTGAATGGAAGGTTTCGCAGGTAGTAACCAGCATTGTCAACATCATCACCGGCACCATTACCATCACCGCCGAATCACCGCCACTACCGCCTCCGCCATGATTTCCATCGGCGGTGAACCGAAACGCCATCAAAGCAGTCAGCCTCACTGCTATCACCGTTGTAGTTGCATCACCACCAACATCATCACCATCATCGTCAACCAACGATTGTGATGCTGTGCTGCATGTATACTGATCCTGAGTGAACCCGGGTGCCTCAGATGGTATTCTATGCGTCCAAGGCACCTATGTAGGAGTTTCGGGTCATGCGCCGCACCTTGGCAGCCAAAGCATCAAGACCCCACTTCTCGAGAGAAGGAAGACCAGGCCTTGACGGCGTGCTCAACTACTAGTAACTACGAGGCCTGGAATCTGCAGTATATGCAATCGAGGTGCGCTCTTGTCGTTGATGAACACCTCGAGTTCGCCGTTTGCGATGACGAAGAAGGATGTCCCAGGGGTCCCTTGCTCGATGACCTACGGAGGCAGGGGCCAAGGCGCCTCACACAAAACATACGCGTCTGGGACAGCCTAGGAAAGGAAAACCGAGACTTCTCTTCCGCAGTACAAGTGACCGTTTCATTCTGGGCGAACTTCATGGTCACGAACCTGGGCTGAGATACGACGAGACCAGCCAGCCAATGGGAGATGATGTTCTTGCAGAAGGACCACGCAAGCTGCAGTCATGTTGCGATTCGACAACCTTCTTGGTCTGCTCCTCAGAGAGATGTCTGAAGATATGGACCTGCCAATGCCAGGGTGATAATCGGCGTTGCTTTGCTCTCAATAATGGTTGCTGCAATGCAAAGAGCCGAGAATGGGCGCCGCCTTTTTTGCCAGGACCATCTTCCGTGTGAAGTCGGAAGCATCGTTTTCACTATTCGCCTGAGGGAATGGCAGAAACGTCAGAGCAGCTCATGAAACGCAAGTGGTAAATCGCATGCCTCTTTTGGCACCAAGGTGCCAGGGACACCCCCAAGGCTTTCAAAGCAGATGCCATGCCATCTCTGGTCAGCATCGCCACCCTGGGAGATCATGCGCACATCAGAGAAAAAACATACATGACAAATATGAACACAAAACCAACTACACAAATGCATGAACACATATAATATAATTATATATCTATACAATATACTATAATAATAACAATATTACAAATAAATAAATATATATATATATATATACATGTATATGCAGAGGGAGCCCATCCAAACTTGCCAAGGGGCCTGGCACCGCCCGAGCCAGCCTTCATGTTCTTGATGGAGCTGGCCGTGCGGCTGCTATTTAGCAGCGCCTGGCGCAGTCGGGGTTTAGAGTTATTTTGGGGTTTAGGGTTTGGGGTTGGGATTTTAGGGCTTCGATTGTCCGCCCAGCTACACAAGTACACACACCAGACTGGCAGGATCAGCCTACCAAATCGACCCAACTCGGTTCAAAGGACCAGACTTCACCCCCCCCCCCCTCAACAACAAAATTTCGGGTTCATGGCTTATGAAACTACAGGGCCTGATGCTTGCAAGTGTCGCAGTTTTTGTAGCTGAAGTGCGCGTCAACGGTACCATCAGTGCAAGAGCTAACTTGCTATAAAGTCAGGGGCAATTGCTGCCCCCCCTGCAACCCATATGGCGGTTGTGGCCTCATCTTCGATCCAGTCGCCGCGCTGCAATTCCACTTCTTTGTCCTATCATCTTTCCATGGCAGCCACACTCGCTGCAACGTGCTGCGACTCTTGCACGCTGCCGCATCTGCCACAATTATATCGTGGCCACATGCAGCCTAGGAGTGCGAGCTACCATCAACCATCCCTGTCGCCTTGCTCCTTAGGGACATGAATTTACAACAGAGCCACAGCTTTAGTGTCCTTGTCAAGCCCGGACAGCGAGCCCTCCAGCACGATGATAATTCTGGCGGTTGCATCTGCCTTGCGAGCTTTAGCTTCTACAGCTTGCTGCCGGCTTGCGCTTCTCCATTCAGAGGCCTTCTCGGAGAGGGTTCATGATTCATAGCACGAATTATGCGGTATTTTGCGAGAACATTCCTCAAAGGGCATCAAAGCGCCTCAGCACCAGCGGCGTAATCCTGCACATGTTTGTTGTTCCATTCGATGCTTCATTCTGCATCATTCTCCTGTACGTCGAAGCCTCGAAGAAACTAAAAAAACCTTGACTTCACGTGAATTCCGGTTGGAGAGTAGCCCGTTAGATTGCGAGAATCTGCGGGACGTGTCTTGAGAATGTCCTTCACGACGGCCCACTTCATCAGCTCCGATCTTTGGCTAGCCGTGAACTGCGAGATCACCGGGCCTTGGCGGGATAACACAATTTTTCAACAATTGTGCTGAAGTTTTTGTGCCAGTAGGAGCAGCTAGGAAGAGGACATTTCTTCAGCCCCTGTGATATGGCATTCCTCTCCAGGACGGCACCAAGGTCGTTGCCCACAATCTCCTTCACAGTTCTCGGGGAAGTCGCTCCGTTGTTTTTCAGCAGAAAAAGGCTTGTACAATTGCATATGACAGTTCAGCTTCAATGACCGTTTTGTGCCTTCAGCTCTGCCACACTCACGCACAAGAGCTCTGAGCGACCGCTGGACACGATGGTGATGTTGAACCTTGCCGCCCAAACGCCATGGAGGGCGGCCAAACAAGTACACAGTATACTGAAAGTAGTAACAAGCGAACTTGCTGATCAGGTCATCATCACCATCATCATCATCATCGTAGCCGACCCTAAACCCTAAGCTCTAAACTTGCCCTGAAAACCTTATACCCCATACTGATCTTGTAAAGTTGGGCCATCCAGTGCGGCCGTGGCACGGCTCTTTGGAAACGACCTGTGACTCTCCAAAGCAATCCTCGGCTTCTCACAAGGCGCACAATTTGAAAGCTCAAGCGCATGAACTGTGATGGGAGGGCCACTATCCACTAACCAACCGACTGTTTGCTTTATTTTGCTTCACTCAAAGCTGCGTTTTGTCCAAGTCGTCCGATTTCCGAGCCATCTACAAACTCACCGGTGCTCTTCACCTTGGCACGCACTGTCCACAAACAGAATGCACTGCCTGTCACTGCCTCCACTGCCACGGACTCGCAGAAGGTGCGGTCAGGACTGAGCTCACAAAGCAGTGACTGAGCAGTCGGCGTGCCCGCCGGAGTATACTGCCAGCTCCCCTCCATGGCCCCACATTGCATGCAAAGCAACGGCCAAAACAAGAGACTCTTGCCGCGCCTTTCTTGACGAAGTAGATGGCTGTCTGCATATCACCCGCTGTCACAACGCGAGCCTGGCACCATGGTCGACAATAGGGGTGGCCATAGCTTCTTCAGAAAGCTGCACTTGCACCTTGTCTTCAAAGACTTCTGAAAAGGTGGCCTGGCCAATGTCAGGATGCCATGGAATGGCAAACCCGTCACAGCAATGCTCTGCAACCCACACCTCCGCAACGCAGTTCTTCTGCTTCTTGGTGAGGCCCTCGAAGATGCTCATGGCATCCAGGAACGTGAGCGTTTCTGCCTGTAGGCAAGGTAGCAAATGGCATAGAGCTTCGCCATGAGCGCATGAGGGGACGGTACCCTGAAAGATTCAAGCACAGAATGCCATGGCAACTTCGGCTGTTGCCTGATGCTTGGTGGCATTCTGCTGAAGGCTCTTCTTGAAGGCATCACCGCTAGCCTCGTTCAAAAGCTCGGTGACTGGCGCTCATGCCAGCATCACTGCAAACGTCAAGGGTGCCCTGATCAGCAACCAAGGCACACCCCAAACCTCGCTGTCTGCCGTGGCTTTGACACTTGCAGTCCTTCACAGCGGGCAAGTCTTCAAGTGCAGCAACGCAATGTTAAAATCACCGCAAGCTAACATCTCGGAGGGATGAGGAGTGATCATGAGTGTCCTCGGACAGTTGTACAGCAGCGCAAGGCCGCCAAAAGCGCAGCCTGCACCAATGGAGTTGCAGGTGATGCCTTTCACCTCGGAGTCCACGCAAAAACCAGCAATGCATTGATTGCAACACCACATCGCCTATGGCGTTTTGCGGCCGGGTGCAGATCAGCCCCCAGTCATGTGCAGACCAGAGCACGCTCACCTCCATCGATCCTGTCTGCGTCACGAAGAACCTAAGACAAGAAGCCCGTTGGGGAAAGAGCATCATCACTCACATTGACAAGAGAGGTGCTTCCACTTTGTAGCAGCGCACAACAACAGTCTTCAGACTCGCCAAATTCCTAGGGCTACTGCCTCTAACTCACTAAACGTCATTAAACAGGTATCCTAGCAGATGGGGTGCCGAACATCATCCGAGGTGCGTCTTTCCGAGGCGGCCCTCTTGAATAATCGGCGTGCCCTTGTCGAACTTGTAGAACTGTGCAGGGGAAATCGCAGATCCAATCAGGGAAGACGATGCATGGTGCTGACCGGCCTTGACTGTGTTCAGAATGGACTCAATCTCTGCATCGTCGAGCCTGGGCGAGTCACATTTCGCTCTTCAATGTCTGGTGCATCAACAGATGACATATATTTACATATATATATACATATACTTGTTTTCATTTATCTATTTGTATGTTCGGTTGAAGTCGGTCCAGGCCCTGGCGTGGCACATAGCCGATCCTGCTTCATCGCATTCTTGAGGAACGCCCTCGTGTCTTTGTCCTGGGCACAGATATTCAGGCGCGCGGGAGTCCCAGGCTCGAGAGTACCGCCGAGTGCCCGGCGATCTCCTTTGCGACCTCGAATTTGTCGAGGTGCTCTTCCACAGGGGGTGCTTTCCGAGATGTGCTCCTCAGCACCACATTCCGTATAGGGGTTTACGATAATGGTGGACTCGGTTTAGTTGGAGGGGCCGCTATGAAGTGTTTTTCCCGAAAACTTACAGGGGACCCCCGCATTGATGAGGGTGGTCCGCAAATATGCGAAGTGCGCGGCCCGGGGATGAAGTGCGGGTGGCCGGGGAGCCAAAACCAAAAGTTATTTTGAATGAGGAACTCCGGAATTTTCTGGTGTCCGGCTTTATTAAGATTGCTTTTGAATTTCAATTCGAAACAGGCTCCCAGTAGGCTACCCCTCAACCCTCGACCCCTGGCCGCCCTACCCCCAGCCCCCGTCCCAGCCTATAGAGGATCCCCGAAAACCCCAGAATTGTTTGACACGAGGGGGGACCCGTGGATACCAAAGCGAGTCCAACAGTATTAAGGGTACCTTACTTAGCATCCTTGCTACAAGGGAATCCTATTAAGGATCCCTTATTTTCGTAAACTCCCATATAACCACGTAGGAACGTAGTGGTATCATGTCAATTGCCAGCCACGGAATGGTAGTGCGAGCGAGGTGCCCCACTCGCTTTTGAGTGGCCTTTCTTGCATACTCCCGTTTCTTCTCCTGCACAGGGCAACAGTGCTTCTCGGCTCCCTGGGCAGGCAATGCTCAGATTGCTCAAAGTAGAGCTCAGAGGGACCCTCGCGGACCTGTGGCATTGCCAGGCTGCTCATCTTCCCAATTTGGTGGAGCAGCCAGGCCTAGGTGCCACACACCTACATTCACACATACACATACAAGCCAAAAGGGACACAAAGGCACATGACAATTGTACACCTGAATACAGAGCCAGGGACAACAGTATACACTAGTGCAGATGGCTTGCGATTGAATTGGCCCAGGCACTGCACAGTTCTGCGCTGCCCAAGCGCCGATGGGGCCAAGTGCAAAGCTCAGCAGAACCCCAAGTTGTGGCGTAGTGTTGCGTTATGGATTGACTCAGAGCTGGGGCCGGAGAGCTGTGTAGGTTCGTGTGGTCTTTAAGTAACTGTTGTCACTAGCTTAAATCGAGCGATGACATGCGATGAAGTGAGCTTTGAGTACGTGAGGGTGGAAAGGGTGGATGTCTACAGGGAGCCTGATGACACCCATGCAGATCGTGATCGAAGCTGTGCTCGCGTCGTGTGATCACGCATGACGCCTAGCAGGTACAAATGCTTCGGAGGAGACACGAAGCCACATGTAAAGTATCTCTGAGACAAAATGACATCTATGCGCAGGATGGCATGGTCAGAAGCAAGCAGATCATGTATGCAGACCATCCCCCGTATATCCCCGCGGCACCTGAGCTGCCACAAGCGCGGCTTCCTGGTGTGACAGCACCCTAAGCAAACAAAACTACGCCCGTTGCAGCGCGGGTAGCCGGGTATGGCCTTGAATACTAACTCGCCGCTGCCATAGTCTCTATCGGCCACCACCTTCAGGCAAATATGAGCCCAGTTACATACGAGCACATGCAGGTTCAAGCCATATTATGCATGCATGCACGTAGTTACCAGCAAAATAAATGTGCAAGTCAACAAAGTGACTATAGACAAACATGTACAGATCCATGCCAATGCCATGCCGTCCTGCCTGGGAGTTGGACGCGGGCCGGGTGCCAGAGCTGCCGCTGGGGCGCTTCTTGACTCCGGACCTGGTGATTCAAGGTTTAACAGTCATTCTTTCTTATTTTTGCGGATAGTTATGATTTGATGATCATTATCTTTCCAGTTGGTTCCTCCCGGGTTGCGGGCCGGGTTGGCGGGCCCCTGTTGACTCCGCGGCTCGCATGGCTCGCGGGTCTGCGCAGGACTCGAGGGCCCATTGATGGCAAGGGCTCGACTGCTATCTTGTGGGACGTATACGCCTACGTTGAAATATTTCCGCTGGCTTGTCTGAGCACGGCGTTTTCGGCTTCAGGTCTCCTGTTGTCTGAGCATGCACACGCTAAGCCTGAAATCCTATGAGCGCATGCTGATAACCGAAGGGTTTCCTTTGCCTCCCGCTTAGCTCAACTGAAGTCCACATTGCTGGGCATGCGGTATATGTATTCCTTACAGAAGGACAAGTTAACAGTTCAATCTATAGACAGTGCGTTTCAGAGACCTGCCGACTTGCACAGGGTTGAGGGGTCATGAGTCTTCACTGGCTGCGCTGGACGTGAAGGAAAGCTGATGGAGGCACAGCACAGGCTTGAACTCTCTCATAGGGTAACCTCGTCCCATCTCTCCTCAACTTTGTCCTGTTTTGCCGCTTCTTTTGTGTTCGCATATGCCTTTGCCTAAGTTGTTGCAAGCTCCACGGACTCGTCGGGCCCCTGCACAGGGGTTGGGCACTATCCTCGGCTCAGGACAGGAAGAGGCAAAGAGCTCGGTCTCGGGGGAAGGGCCTTCTTGTCCTTGTTGTCAGATGTCGAACTTGGAGATGTTGCAGCCCAGAGAGGTGTGAAGACATCAGTCGTTGATCCCGGCGGAAGTTGCATCCACATTGGCCTCGAGTGCGTCGGCATAGGTCAGCTCGATGGATTCCTGCAGGGCAATCCAAACAGCATCCCTACCCACGCGCGCCGGAATCTGCGTCGCACCAGGCATGAGGAGCACTACTTGCGGGCTGTGTGGGCTTCGTCTCCCTTTGTCGCTGTGTCACAAGCGCTAGTCGGCTTTCTGCGGCATCGTGAGCAGCAGATGCATTTTTATTGGTCAACGGGTCAGTATTTTTTCTACGTTCAGTACTGTGTGCAGTGGCCGTGTGGGTGAACAAGCACAGCTGCAGCCTGAGTTCCAGTTATATTGCCATACTTAACCGTGAGTTTGGTCCGCATCGCCTCTTCATTCTTGACTCGGGGTCTCCAAATGAGCCAGCGCAGACATCGAATCGCCGTGGTGCAGTGCACAGGCGTAAGAGGCACCCATGTGTAGGCAATGACAGCTGTGGCCGTTAACACTAGAAGCACTTGCCCGTGCATACCTGTTCCAAACGCGTGCCATATCTGGAAAGCAGATGAGGCTGCTATTGAACACACTAGGTACCCGCGAGACAATGTGGATTGGCTGTTTGCATCGTCCGTCGGCAGGCGCACTCTGAAATCCGTCACTGCCTTGGAGAAGAGGAGCCTCACGGGTGGCGAAGAAAAAAATTTTGGGGGGGAAACGCTTGTTGTTGGTTTTTGCAGGGACTTTGATGCGGCAGAGGGGCACATTGACCATGGTTGCAGCGGCAACGCACAGACTTACCAAAGGATTCAATGGGCCCCAAAAGATGGTAGTTTCCATAAATGTGGTAAGCATTGCGTGCTGCTGTATGGGTGAGAGGCAACCACTGGTCGTAGGCCCGAAGCGAAAGAGCCTCAAGTGGCTGCTTCCATCTGCACGTTCAGGGTCCAACTTGGACAGCTGCCACGCAAGAAGCAGAAGTGCTGGTTGCAAACATGTTCTGAGAAGAAGCTTCTTCATCAAGAGAGGAGCAAGGCCTTCGATCATTGCTCTGCTGCAGCGGCCGTTATGCCACCAGGAAGGCTCCAGTTGGCACATTTCATCAGTGCTTAAGATGGACTCGTGCCAGATCTTCCAGTTGAACAACTGGTGACGAGGGCTGTCTGAGTCACAAACACTCCAGAAAGACTTCCACCCAGCCAGGCAGTTCTCGTGCAGCAGAAGCGTCGTAAGCATTGACAGAAGCCATGCCGAGCAAAGTCTCAGACTCATCAGCAAACGGTCGGTTCGGATTCCTGTCAATGCCGAGTAGCATTTTGCCAGGGCGCCTTGGCTGCTCACGAATGCCGAGCTGGTCGAAGACTCGAAGGCTTCTTCTCTCCTCTTACCATTGAGGGTTCTCCGAAGACTAACGAACAAAGTGGGCCAACTTGCATGGCAGCATGGGAAGGCCTGACATCATGGATCCATGAAGTGATCTGCATCACGAGCTTCCCTGTGCGCTGGAAACCCGAACGGGCATTCTGGTTCTCTTCACCCGGTGACCCCTCCTGCGCACCAGCACGCCCCTGGGTAAGTCCAGGACGCAGCTTGGGCCTTCTTACTGATTGTGGTACTATTGGCTTGTTGCGGCACTCTCTCTCTCTCTCTATGGAAAACGTGGTATGGATATTATGATCGGTGAATGCATGATGGATGACTGACAGGTGGATTGATGGACTGGTGGGTGGGTGTGTCGATTTTAGGTAAGCTGCCGGTAGGCTGCTGTATTTGTAGATATCAGCCTTATCGTTCCATTTCTTACTTATCGTACTACAGGGTTTGGTGGGACTGCTTGCAATTCCATACTGGGATACGATATCTCGTTCAACTGCCGAGATTTCACCGACCTACAGCCCTTCCATAGCTTCTCAAAGATCACTCTTCACTATCCTCTCCCCTACGGACCGAGTGAAGGGCAAAGTGGCCATTCCAAAGCCACTCTGGTGAACCTAACGACATCGTCGTTGTTTTCGTTCAGTTCTCGTTTTGGTACCAAACTTGCAACACGAGCTTGTGGACTCTCTAGGACGACGCCTGTCCACTGCAAACTTACCCACAATATAGAAAGAATGGTGTATGGTGGGAAACCATAGGTTTAGTGTAGCACTGTACAGCACAGTACAATACAGTAAAGCTCTGTCGGCCGCATACGACTGAAAACACAACTTACCGTGTTTCTTATCTACCGCTTTACAAGTCAAGCTCGCTATCCCTGACACTTCCGGCAGCTCCCTTCATAAATCGAGGCTGGGGGGGGTTTCATGCAACCCCAGGTTTCGCATAGTGCTTGCCCAGGCGCTGGCCAACAGCATGTCGATGCCCACGATCATGATTGGAGCGGCCGTGTGGGCCATGTGCAACATCCAGCTGCTGAGCCCCGAAGTGTTGTTGGCCGGGAGCGCCTGCACACACAAATGTGTGGAAAAGTGCTGTGCGAAAAATCTAGACTTCCCCAGCAAGAGAGGCACGAATCAAGAATCCCAGTGCCCAAGCACACCAGAGCCTGAGCGACGGCAAAAAGGATCGATGGCATTGACAGGAAAAACACCACTACCTCCAGGGATGCACATGTTTTAATTGTGCTCACTGAAACCTGCTTGATGCGTTGACTCCCCCGCACCAGCCACAATATCCAGAAGAAGACGAGTTTGCCGCCAGCGGGTGTCGATTCCGAGGCCAGCCCGGGGCCTCTGAGCAGCTTGCTTGGGTGTGACTTGGAGGACTGATTTCTTGGGCGAAGAAGAAAAGGGGTTTGTCTAACTCAAGCAGCCACGCCTGTCGTGCGCTTGGGTATAGAAGTCACAGATGCTGCGAAGAACAAGGTCAGGCAACTCCATGAAATGCTCGTGACCAAAGTCTCCCAAGACCTTGGTCGGATCCCTAAATTCAAACAATTCCGAATAATCTCGATGCAACTAGGACTAGCGTTTGGGGTCGCGCAATCCTACACCCAAAAGCGCACAGAAGATCCCCAAGGCCAGGCACCCTGTTAGGTAGGCGGCAGTGGCACGGCCCAGTGGCTGGCCGCAGATGTAGTAGCCGGCACCCCAGAAGTAGAGGGGCAGCATCGCGGAACACAGGAAGGCTGATAAGACGGTGAAGCGGAGTACGCCGAAGCAGGACTGTACAGGGTCTCGTGCACGTGGTTGCAACGCAGGCACTTTAAATTTAGGACAAGACAAAAAGGAACAAAAGCAGAAGACAACAATACGCTAAGTACGCGACCCCTGAAATTTCCCGGTGAGGCTGCCTCAGCCACGACGGAAACCTGCACGCTGTCATGGGTATGGCGGGACGCCTCAAAGAGAGCCATCCAGACGCGTCCCCGAGCGAAGACCAGACCCAAAAGGACCAGTGCCATGCCGAAGCCGATGAACAGGTTGCTCGTGTAGGCCCGCTCACTGAAATACAGGAACTCCTGCTGCTCCTCGTTCAAGACCCAGGATGGAAGAGCGTGGCCATCTCCGATCATGTTGCCCATGACCACTGTTGCAAGCACATTGCCGCTGGTCACATGTTCTGGAACGCTGCAAGAGAAGGTGTTTCTGTGGAGTGTCACCTTTGGTTCCTCCAGTTGCTGGTCGCATTTCTGACATGACCTGGGGCAATTCCGGAGGAGCTCGGCAAGCTCTTCGCGCGCCAGCGCATAGGAGACCAAGGTTTCACAACTCTCCACAGGCTCGTCTGCCCAGTCCCGACAGGCCCTGCCCTGCAGCTCAAAATGAGGGTTGTCCAAACAAGGTGCTGTGAGGCTTAAGTCTTGGACAGATCCCGAGAGCCTGTTCCCATGGAGGGTCAATACCGCGAGGTCCTTCAAACTAGAGAGGCGACTGGGTAGGGACCCAATCAGAGCATTGTTATGCAAAGTTAGGGCAACCAGATTCTGTGCCCAGAGGACCTGGGGAAGTGGACCCGTAAAGCCATTGTCATGCAGCAGCAATGAGTGGAGCCTGGGCAACTTCCACAAGCAGTCGGGAATTCTGCCCGTGAGCTGGTTCCGGCTGCAACTGAAATGCTGGATGTAGCGGAGTTTGCAAAGATCTTCTGAAAGCTCTCCAGAAAGGCCGTTTCCATCCATCTGGAGTTCCTGCAGAAAGCAGGAGGGAACTCTTTCGTCCGGATTTCTGATTCTAAGCACTTCAAAGCATACGCCACGCTGACGACGCAAACCTGAGCCAGGTCATGGTTCGTGTCCCTGTCCCCCTTAAAAACCACTTAAGGCTTTTTGAGAACTCACCGTATGAACAGGTGTGCTCACAGCGGCTTTTGGAGTTTGGAGTCCCTGCATACAGTCATACAGTTCACTCGCTCCTCCAACCGGGTGAGGTTGCCCAGCGGAGGAAGCTGTCCAGAAAAACTATTCTCACCGAGGTCCAGAACCCGCAGTGGCAGCAAGCCGCCGATCTCTGGCGGAATAGTCCCAGACAGGAGATTTCCGCGTAGGGATAGCTGCTTGATTCGGCGGAGGCTGCCCAGCAACACAGATCCAGTGAGGAGGTTCTGGGAGAGATCTAACTTCCCCAAGGCCTGGCAGGGATACGGATGACAGAGCGACACGATTCCCCCTCGATTTGCCTTTGAAATCTCATTTATGTTGCAGCACTATGAGCCTGAAAGTCTGCCATGGGCATCCCACCCTCAAGGAGGTTGTTTCGGAGATTGATCTCCTTGATGGCCCGCAGCTGGGCGATCTCCGATGGAATGGCTCCGGAAAGCAGGTTGTGGGAGAGGTCCAACTGCTGCAGCCTAGAGAGCTTGCCCAGCTCCTGACAACCAGGACGAATGAATCTCCGATGTCTCAACCCGGGGGTTTCAAAAAAGCTGACGTGAAAGCTCAATCAGGGTCAGCTCTGCTATGCTGCACTGAGGTGCCCGCCCTCTGCCAAGTTTAGGACATGTTCTGGATTCGACACTGCACGCACATGCAACAACATCAACACTCCCATGTTTAAATGGGTTTCCTAGACGCTCAAGTAAAGGGAAAGCGCTCACTCCATGTTGCCTGTCTTTGCAAGGAGCTTGGTAGATGTTGGCTAAATCTTCTGAGAAACACATCTGACAAATCTACTGGGACAGTATATACTGTGTGGGCTACTATCACGGCTCCTTAGGCAGCGGCCCCACGAATTGGTTCCGGGAGAGGTGCAGGATCCGCAGGGAGCGCAGCTGCCCCAGCTCCGATGGGATTTCCTTGGTGAAGCTGTTGCTGAAGAGCTCAAGGCGACGCAGCCTCCGGAGGCCCCTGAGCTCCTTGGGCAGCTCACCAGAAAGCCTTGTTGCGTTTTGTTTTGCCGGGGGGTAGACTGAAGAATTTTAACATTCGGTGAGCATGGTAGCCGAACCTTGTGGGCATTCAAGAATCAAATTCAAAGGTTAAAGGCTACTCAGCGCATGGAAGCTGGTTGTTGTGCAGGAGGAGGTCCGTCAGGGATCTCAGGCTCCCGAAGCTGCTGGGCAGGTCACCCTCGAAACGATTGAATCCAAGGAGGATGTTCTTCACTGTCGCCAGGCTCCCAAGTTCCATGGGAAGGGGCCCTGTGAGCTGGTTGTCCGACAAGTCCAAGTCCTGCAAGGAGGATAAGCTGCCTAATTCCCTGGGCAGGGAGCCCGACAGCTTGTTGCTGGCACAATAGAGAGCCTGCATCTTGCTGAGGTTCCCCAGCTCTCTTGGGATGGGCCCTGTGAGCTCATTGCTCGTAAGCAGTAGAAGCTCCAAGTCTTGTAGGCGGCCCAGCTCGGGAGGAATCGGCCCGGAGATGCGGTTGAAACCGAGCTTGAGCCTTCGTAAATAGCTCAACTCCGCCAAAGCTGGTGGCAGGTGCCCTTGGAGGCCTTGGCCTTGTAAGCTGATGCTGACCACGTGTCCGTCGGGATCACAGGATATGGACAACGCCGCGGAGGGATCACAGGGAGCGCATGCCAGCGATCCGGCTTTTTCAGGTGCAACACCCAAAGACAAGAGCGCGGAGCTCAGCAGAGTATCGCAAGTTTCTGGTAGAGTCGCGGTGCTTGTGGAGCGCGTGCTTGTTGCCGTGGTCACTGTCTGGCTGGTGCTGGTTGCTGTTGTCTGGCTTGTTGTCTGGCTTGTCTGGCTTGAGGTCTGGCTGGTGGTTGTCTCGGTCGTCGTGGTCAGGCTGAGTTCAGTCGTTGTCGTTGTGCTCGTGGTGGTGTGTGAGCTTGTCGTGCTTGTGGTCTGAGAGCTGCTCGTCGCCCCAACACTCGCACTGTAGGCTGCTGCGCATACGCAGAGCCAACACAGGCTCCAGCGCGGCATGGACGTGGAGCACAGAGCGGCTGCCCAAGCGAAACAGTTGTATCTGGTGCTGCGCGACTGTCTTTTCTGAAAAGTCGGTACAAATGCAATTTTGTGTTGGTTAGCTTCTGCATCTCTGCGACATTTGCTGCGTAAGCCTTGAACAGGACACATTATATCAAACGCGCATCATGAACAGAGATTACATGGTAATGCACGTGCATAGCTGACTCACCCAAAGCAGCTTTTTCATCCTTTTCGTCGGCAGCTGATGCTTCGAGATGCATCATCAAGGAGGCAACTCCACTCCCAATGCAAATTCATCAGCATATGCTCTTGGTCCTGGATCAAAAAAGCAAGGCTGCCAGTTGCCGGCTGAGCCTTTCACCGAGAAGTGCAACGGCGTCCGCGTCTTCAGCTGCTGATGCATGCATATGCATGTGCTGTAGGCTTCCTCTGGGCTCTATATGCAAGATGGATGCCCCGTGCTGCAAGATGCACTCCAAACGGCAAAGATCTCGGGCAGCGGCGCACAGAACATGCCAGGATCGGATCGAGCGGTGGGGTTCTGTAACTCACAAGACTCAGCAGAAGAGCGACGTTTCAATCAAAGCCGCCTGCAACGTGCGCAGTCTGCTCCTTGGTGGTCCGCCAGCTTCGCGGGCGAGGCACCCAAAACAATTGCCCGGGGAAGAGCTCCGTCCAGGTGTTTGTCTGGTACGTGTACTGCCACAAGTCGTTGGATGCCGGTGGACTTTGCAGGTTTCCTCCGAAGAGGAGCGCCACCCCTGTCGTCGTGTCCCAGACGAAGGACGTGGACGTCTGGCGTCGGCCCGGGGCAAGGTCGTTGCCCAAGGCTGCCCAGGGTGCCTGCCCCCTGTGAGGAGCATGACCTGACTGGGTTCCACAGGGCCGCGTGCTCAACCCTGGTGCCATCCTGTGCCAGGTGGGGTGAGCAGGGTCCACGAGTTGTGAGTTGGCCAACCAGCTGTAGCTCCATAGGTCACCGTAGAAGACGTTGTCATCTCCACCGTGCACAAACATGATCTCATTATTTGGAGGCCGAGTGTTGAGTCCTCGCCCAGGGCGTGCCGGTTGGCGCGTGGACCTGCGAAACGCCACCAATCTTCGATTGGCCTCCGAAGACCACCAAGCTGTCCCCTGTGCAGACCATGCTGTGCCCCGGGGCTCCTTAAGGGGGCACTCTATGATCTGCGTACACAAACTGACTCATGAGAGCTGCGGCGTAGCTGAGGCCCCGGTTTCGCCGCAAGCGTTAGCTCAGTCCAGACGGGGATGGACACATCCAGAACCCAAGTGTCGTCCATCCTTTGCAGATCCTCAGGTGTGTTGAGGTGGTTGTAGCCGCCGAACAAAACACCATCAGCGCCTGAGCATCACTTTGCTCTCTCGTGGAAAATACTTCGGGAGCCGTCGCGCCTGTGCACATGGCTGAAACCGTTCGGCCCTGGGGAGTTGAGCCGCTGCCATCCAGGAGCACAAGCCAATCCTTGATTGCTATCGAGTGGCGAGGGTTCTGTCCATGCCTCTAGAAGAATGACATGCGGAGCAGCTTGAAGGGACGGGCTCGACTCGGGTGTGCTTGAGGGGCGGCACGCCTGAAAAGAACGGCGTTTTCCAAGGGCTCACGTTGTTTGGGCTTCGAACATGAACGAGGCTATGTAACTCCGAGCCCGCGTGTCTTGAAAATCTCCGAAAGCGCTTCGTTCCTTTGACTTGCCTAGTGGGAGGCAAGGGGCGGCAGAGTCAATCGCTCACAGACTCTCTGCCTACCTAACGGGTTCCAGTCAGCAAAAACCATCAGCTGGTCCAGGGGGGCAAAGGCTAGATTTCAGTGGATTCATGCGAACACTTCCCACCCAAAAGCGAGGTTCAGATCGCAGTCGAGAGCGGTGCGAATATGGTGTATAACTGTCACTGCATGACCTCAACTGAACTGGCCATGCAAAATCTTCGAAAGTGATTCGAAATTGGAGCAGCAATGCTGCCGCCATCGTGGCTAGCCGAAACAGGCACCACACTTCTCAGGATCCTTGTCTCCCGTTTGATGACGCTAGTATGAACCACTCTTCACTTGTCTCAGTCGACGGGCGCGTCTCAACTTCAAGATTGTTGGATTGTTGGGCATCCAAGATGTGACACATCCCCGAAGAAAGGTGGGGCGGGGTGCCTGGCAATCCTTGGCAATCCTTGGCATCACCAAGGCCCGGAAGTCAAACAAACAAAGCCCTCCAACAAAACCATCCAACTCCAGACTCACGAATCGAGCACCAGGCTGCTGGTGCGCGGGTCGCGGTCGTGGTGCTGCTGGCGGTGGTGCTGGTGCTGGTGGTGCTGGTGCTGGTGCTGGTGCTGGTGCTGGTGCTGCTGTGGTGCTGCTGCTGCTACGGGTGGTGGAGGGGTTGTGGTGGTGGTGGTGGTGGTGGTGGTGGTGGTGGTGGTGGTGGAGGTGGAGGTGGTGGTGGTGGTGGTGGTGCTGCTGCTGCTGCTGCTGCTGCTTGGGTCGCTGGTGGTGCTGGTGGAGGGCGTGGGGGTGGTGGTCGTGGTGGCGGTGGTGCTTGTTGTTTGATCACCTTGCTTGCCGTAGTAACCATCACGGCGGTATTGGCGGTGGCTTCGGCGCCGCCAGGGGCGGACCTCAATGCTGCAATTGCATGTGGCTCTTTCCTACTTTTTGCTATTCGCACGCAGATGATGTCATCAAGTGTAGGCCCTGCCAGAAGTCCGAGTGCCACACTTTTGCACCTTCCAAGTCTGGAGCTCCGGGATCCATCTCTGCAACGTTTGCGAGTTTGGTTTGCATGAAGACTGCTTGGTCTTGTGTGAAGCTGCCCGAGCACTCTGCTGGGGCAACCTCACATGACCCAGCTGCTCCTGCCCAACCCTCGCCGTCTTGTGTGGCAAATACCGTCACAAGGCGGCAAAGTACCAGCATCTGACGGAGTGCACGCATGATGAGAAGCTGAGAGATTTGGGTCTGTACGTGTCAAAATTGTTGGGACAAACGCCTGACATGAAGCACAAACATCGCCACCCTTTGCCAAGTGTCACAGTGCAAGTTTACATCCTCGTCCGAGAAGCGCACACACGATGTGACAAATCCTTAAGTGTCTCCATTCTTGCGGCGCTGAGGTGTATTGTGAAAAAACATCTGGAAGCAGACAAAAACTTACAAAGCATGCCTTTAACCCCTGATACATGGCGCAACTCGTGGAGTGGTTCACCACCTTCCCCAACCCCAAAGCCCGACAAGCCCGAAACGCTTTATGACTAAACCATCTTGCAAGACCTAAACCCCACCGAACCTGCCCCCTGCAACTACTCCACTCTCCACACTGCTCCGTGCTCTCCAAGTGCAAGGGAGAGAGTGCGCGCACCCGAGAGGGTTTGGGCTCGAGTCTTCCGCGATTCGCTCCGCAACAGAAAACCCAGCGTACGCTGGAGCAAGGGCCCTATGGTGCCAGATGGTGTTGTGGAAATGGCGTTTAATTTGACAAGAAAACTCAAAGCACGGAAACAGTGCACCCCTCGGCAGCTTCCCCAACAATGGCAGAATAAGGCTTAGGTTTTGATTCTTTGCTCCCCTGCGTTTGCATGTGGCGTCGGCACTGGACGATTCCACTCTAAAACAATGCAGAAACCCGGGCCACCAAATTGAAAAGATTACATGACAGTTCCGAAAGAACAACACGAACCAAGAACGACTTCATCATGTGAGCCATTGCAATACGATAGAAGGACAAAAACGACAAGCAGCTTACACATGCCCGAGATGGACAGAAGTTTTCCTTCATGCCCAAGCTACTTCATGCCCAAGCTACAATCTGTTGAGAACATGAACAATAAGCACGGCAAAGCCAACAAGCTGCAGCATGACCTCGCCATTCGTTTTTGCCTGCGCGACAGCGACCGTCAAGCCCCCCAATTGTCCCACATTCTCCCGCCCAGCACGGGGCTTAAGCCCAGAAGTTTCTGCAAAGGAAATGAGCTTGGAATTGGGACGATCTCGGGCTGTGCCGGGCGAGAAGCCGCCCATGCAAATCTGGACTTTTGCAGCAAAGTCCCATTATGAGGAAGGGCCGGCCGTCTTTAGCGCACAGACTTGTAATGGGAATGTGTCACGGAGCATCCGCAGAATGTGCCAGCCAAGCTCGACGCATCGCACCTCTGCAACATCGGCAGGTGCGACATCTGCACGATGTCACGCACAGCCTCGGGACGCTGCGGCGGCAGGAAGGAAGGCCGGGAAGGCTGGGGAGGCCAGGAAGGCCAAGAAGCTGCTGACAGAGGCAGACTTTGGATTCCGGTATCAAAGCACTCGCAGCCTCGCACACCTATGCCCGGGAGGCGTGATGCAGCATCGGCCAGCAGTCAGTCTTCCCCTTCGTGGCATTTGAGCGGCTTTGAGCGGCTTAAAGCAGCGAAGCGTAGCCTAGAAGCTCCAGTCCTCTGTCAGTCTGTCACAGCGATGAATGATGCCCCTCTCACATGCTTTGACTGGGACAAGACCTTGGACTCAGCAGGAGCTCCGGACAATAGAGCCACACGGTTTACCCTAGGCAAGCTGCCTATGAAAGGAAAGCATGAACCGGACAGATGCAACAAAGGTAATAGGGACTTCCCGGGGATGCACCCCAGAAAGCCAAGCGACGAGATGTAGTGAGCCTCGCACCGACCAAGAGCTTGGTATCAGCTTCCACTTTTTTGAACTCCTTGAGTTGCGTGTTCTTGACGTCCGTGTAGCTTTCACTTTGCCAGAGGTGGGATGAGGGCCCACTCCTCAAGGTACCCGCTTTGCGGGGTCTAAGAGTACGCACGTTTCACAACTTTTCAGGTGTCGGGGGGCACCTCAGGTTATTCGCAAGGTTAAGTCGGTCCGTGAGCGAGCCCCGTGAAGAATCAGGAGCTCGGCCTGTATGAGGATACAAGGAGGGCATCGGCTGGGATCTTATTGCTATGCGGGGCATGGGTTAACTGAGGGTTGCCCAGAGAGGACACTGCGACAATCTGGAAGCACGAGCGAGTCCCTCTACGGCTTCCGTTTCCGCACAAGAGCCAGATATAGTCAGATGAAGCGGCACGAAGCAAACCACTCTGCCTCGGAGCACCGGGGCGGTGAGGTGATTTGCGCTTTGCCAGGCCCTCTGAAAGGGATGCCATCGCAAAGGCGGCTGACAGCCGCATGATGCTCGAGGATTCGAATGCTAGTGCAGCCAAGTCCATACACAAAGGTCCGATGTCAACCCTCCAGGCAATCTGGTCATACCTTGCCACCTAGCGTGTCTGAGGCACGGAACGACGTCCAGGCCCCTGCCAAATGCTCAGCGCACGACCGACATTGGGTGTCTGCATGAGGCTTCCCTCCCAACCATGTGACCTTCTCGAGTTTTCAGTTTCCCAATACCCTGCTTGGTTCTTTGGGCAACACAAATCGGAAGGTAACACTTAGACCGGGCAAGGAGGGCAAGCCCCGCCCCTTCGTACTAAGTCCTCTGAGGCCTTCTGCCTAACTTCGTCCCCACCTTCCCTGAGTTCGCACAGGCATCTACTTTCCGTGGCTTGGTCTTTGACCCCTCCTGGGGTTGACAGAAGTTCGTGACTGGGCCTGCCCCACCGAGTTCGTGGAATGGGTGCCCGTTGCCCGTCGAACAGCGATACCTACCTCCGTGTTGCTCTGATCTTCCGGTCGCAAGGACGCAGGTCATTGCCTGTCGCTTCTTCCAGGAAGGAAGGCATATAGGGAGGTCCAGCCACTCGACGGCTCAAAATGCATGCAAACCTCGACCCCCAAGAACTCCCAATTCGTACTTACGGACAGGCTGCTGTGACTGAGAGGTTGCTGTCCTGAACCTGTGCACATGCAGCCCAGAGACCCTTGCATGCTGCAGCTTAGAATGCCTAAAGTGCACTTTCTCGGCTTTCTCGGACACTCCTGCGTGACCACCGGCCACTTTCAGCCAGGTTCGGGCGCAAAGACCGGAAGGCGGCCAGCCCAGCAAGCTCTCGATTTTGGTAGAGGCTAT